TTTTTAAGATAATACTTCTATAATCTGTTCTCATGGAAATTTGTCTTGTATCACAGGCATAAAAACACAATATAGAATACAGATGATAAAATAAAAACATGAGCATTTGTATTCTTGGTGCCTGGTGTGTTCTTTTTTAATGGGGTGCAAAGTTATGTTATACTTAAGCCTTATTGCAACCAAAACTGGTCATTTGTACGCTTTGTCATAAAAGAAAATCAAGCAGCAACACTCTTTCAATCCAGTAAAATTCTTCAGGCATGAAGTGGGCTAATTATCTTTCCTGCCAACTCTTATGAAATAAATCTGGGTGGTGACAGATTCATTTGTACAGATTTCTCTTTTACAAAGTGTTTTTTATTGTTAATCATTATAAACACTTAATAATCTAAAAACAAACAAACACATATTATATTCACTGTGATTCTGTTGTTAAAAAAACCAAAAAAAAGGTCATTTCTTTTCTGATTTTCTGAGAAGTCCTGTGCTTGCCCGACATAAAATAAATGTATTCCTAGCCTGTAATGTTTAGAATTTGTCCGACTCTGCAGGATCCTAAACCCACTGCAGCTCTTTAATATTCAGTCCCAGTACACATCGAACAGTTTCATTAAAAGTCAGAGCAGAGGTGTCTCAGATATCATAGATTACATTTGGAGTCTTCTGTATCCTGTTGATGTTGTGGAAACTCTTTTCAATACAGATCAATGCGTAAGTCAGTTCCGGGAAGAGAGATTTTACTAACCATAAAAAAATCTCCATCATCCCTTACATCACTCTGTCTGGGCTTCTCTGTCCATTCGCTACAAGACGCCTTGTGAGTTTAAACCACAGGAGGTCTTAACAGTATGTGACATTTCCAACTTTTCCAGAGACTCCATTAAAAGCCCCTATGCCTGAGGCATGTGATTACACTTCAGACTGAACTTCTGTGAAGACTGTGCGACAAAGAAGACTACTGAAGGTTTCCTGTCTGTGCATGGGGTTCAGTATAAAACTGTAGGTCAGCCAACATTGGGTGTCCTACTAAAGATCTTTTTTGTTCAAGTCCACAGGCGTCATTCTATTCTACTCCCCTTTCTTTCACCATATTTTCCCAGAAAGGTCACTCCATGCTTGAATGTGAATGTAGTCTGAGCAAGTCGTGGGATGTGGAAAGAGAAAATAAAATGGCTTTTTCTTATCTGCCACTGGAGTGCTCACTGAATGAATCTATCCTCTGGCTCGTCCCTCTTTTCCCTGGCAAATGAAGCTCCGGCAGTCTCTTGATGTCTTCCGGCGATGGCGTCGTTAGGAGCAGCAAGGTTGCGCGAAGGTCGAGTAAACACAATTAGGCTGCCGACCTGTCTCCCTTGGGGGAGAAGTGACACAGGAGTTGGCTGTAACTTTAAGTGGCAGATGCTGCAGGAACGCTCCAGGTGGATCTGTCTCTTTAGGACAGGGTAGAGTTTCATTCTTTCTCTGTTCCCCAGAGGGAGATGTGGGGAGAAATAAACAGAGCACTGTTGTCTGTGGGACATCTCACCTGTTTCTGAGACAAAAAACAAAGCATCTGTTTGATGCTGTTGCACATAATGGGTGATATGAGATTGATATGGGCCATCAATGATGTGTGTGAGATGGTTACAGAGTGTTGGTGTATGTTTCTGGTTGTGAATATGGAGGTCCAAAAAGTGTGCTGCAGCTTATTAGCATAGGAACACATTCATCTGAGTTCTTCGCTTTTTTGTGATATAATCATGTGATACCTTCATAAAGTTTAAATAAATTGAGTCTGACGAAGGACAGGAAGGTGTTTACAGCGTTCGACTGGCAGTCAAAATGTATTATAGTTTATGAAGTGTGTTTTTAGGACCTGTTTGCATTAGTGGAGTCAGTAATGCAAGACTTCTGATTAGGGCTGCCCCTGACTAAAGTCCCCCCTACTCGACTAGTAGTTGTTAGTTAAAGCCATTTAGCGACTAGTCGTTACACATTTATGATATTAATTTAAATATTTAAATACATACACTGATCAGCCATAACATTGTGACCACCTGGGCACCCTGGTGGTCGTAGTGTTCCCCCCACATGCATCAATGAGCCTTGGCTGCTCCAGTTCCCTGAGACAAGAGCTGCAGTTTTAGAGATGCTCTGACCGTTGTTTAGCCATCACAATTTTTTTTAGAATGCTGCCCATTTTTTGTGCTGCAACTTTGAAGACAAAATGTCCACTTGCTGCCTAATATATCCCACCCACTGACAGGTGCCATGATAATCAGTGTTATTCACTTCACCTATAAGTGGTCATAATGTTATGGCTGATTGGTGTATGTATCTATATATTAACAGCTAAACAGCCAAAACTAAACTGGTGCATTATGCAACACCCCATTTGATCTTTACCTATGCACATTCATACAGCCAACATTTTTAGTTTACATTTTACTGAAGCACATGTGATTTATTACTATATTATTATTTACCTTTTTATTATACCTTTGTCTTGCCAACATCTACATTTACTTTCTCCTTTGATTAATGACCCAGCAAACAAAAGATGAAACACTGACCCACAACTTTTAATTAGCTATGATAATGAATCTTTATGGAGGCCTTTTAACATTGAGGCGTGATTGGTGTGTGTGTGTGTGTGTGTGTTCATTAGCTTCCTCTGAGGTGGAGAGATAACAAATGGTATTGATGGTAAGTGTGATTTATGTCCAGGTGTGATTTATGCAGTGATTTATGTAATTATATACCCAGAGGGATTGCCAGGAGGTCCAGTGAATGAGTATTCGCCTCTATCCTATCTCGCTACACAGACATGTAAAAATGCCCAGTCTATGCCTCAATTATTATAATCACCAACTTGTTCAAATCCATTTCAATCTATATAAATGCACTTTGCAGTCTTTCTGCTTTTATACCCAGAAAAAAGTAATTCAACAGTAATATTAACTGCACCATAAGATCCACCCAGTTTGTCCTCTGCAAGTTCATTGAGGCATTTTTTCACGTTCACAACGTTTTGATGTCACGGATTAGATTCACTGACACTGTTTTAAAATTTGGAAGAGGACTTTGTCCTGTGGTTCAGTCAGGGCTAAAAAAGATACAAGGTCACAGGAAAAAAAAAAACTTTTATTTACTTACAAGCAACATGATTGCTTGTCTATGACATCATGCCCCAGACTGTGCTTTTAAATTGGTATCAGGCCATTAGAGCGATTGAAATTTGAGATTTGGGGTCAGCATGCTCCCATGTTCATGTAGTGGTGGGCTATTTTTACATTTTGCAAGAGCCATGAATCCATCCTGTGATGTGTGCATTTTTTATCACAAGTCATAAGTTTGTTCGCTGCTTATTGCACTAAAAGTAATTTAGTTTCCAGAGCTGCTCACTAACCACTAACTGTTAAGGGTTCATAAACATAACAGTTGTAAATTGTGCACATTATGAGCCTGATTCAAACCTTAATTAAAAAAAGGCATTGTGTATAATTGTGTTCTCTTTTTTGAAATAAACAATGATCTACTGTTCAGTATGGTTAGAGTTCCTAACACCCCGCTCTCCTCTGCCTGGCACAGCTTTATAAGCGTCCATCCGTCTTCTGTGCTGGTTATTCTGTTCAGGGTCGCATCCCAGCATGCACTTGGTGGAAGGCAGGGACTCTAACAGGTACTTAAGACTGTGGGAGCACAACACCGGAAAGACCCAAGCATCTGGTGGGTTCAAGGCCAGAGTGTTCAGTTCAGGGATATATGGAGACGTCCCAAACTACCGGTCCATGTCCTCCCAAAGCCTATCAGGCCAATCATGAGACAGAGATCTGCCCTTCCTGTTCTATATTTCCCTCATACTAACTATGTCATAAAGGTTTCTGTCATGCCTACAGCTTTAGACAAGGGAGGGAGGAAAATCTCCTCCTTGTTATTCTGTTGCATCACTTTAAACCAGCATAAGGCAAAAAAACAAGTGCTTATAATCAGTTAGTCATCAGGTGTGTGCAGCAATGAGCATTTGATCAATAGCCTGATAAAATGTGTTGTGTTCATTGAGTCAGTAAATATGAGGGGGTATGTTGATGCCAACATTCAGAGTGATTCAGAGGAATTCGGTCCTTCTGGACTGCTTCTGGACTCTGATGATATTTATTTCATTCTCAGGCAGATTTGTATCACATTCAGTCATTCTCTGCCTCTGGCGCCTTATATTTCTGTTTGGCTTCATTGTATTGCTGATATTAAGCAGCCTAATGCAGAGAAAATTGCATCAGTTTTTTCATTACAGCTCTCAAGCATTAGGTGGAGTGTGGGTGTCAAGCAGGGGATGCGATCAGTGGCCAACAAGGTCTTCATCATGTCAAGCTAGAAGCTAAAAGTTTCTCTTAACTTTTGAAACAAAAACTTAGCAGTTGGTCTTTGTTCTCAGTAAGACCTTCAAACCTCTGTTTACAAGTTGTGACGTGTGTGTGTGTGTGTGTGTGTGTGTGTGTGTGTGTGTGTGTGTGACTTCTTTTGGATTCAATTGTGTAAATGATAGAACTGAACAATAAATCCATCACTTTCATGCTCCAGCGCATTCAATTTAATCAATTCATCAACTTTGTGCGACACTCTGATTAAAGTGAATGCATCAGTGCAACATGTGTAAGAGTCACTGGGATGTGCATGGTAAGGAATTACAAGAACATGCACGATGATTTATGCATCTGAGGTTTTTTTCTGTACTTTCGGTGCACATTATTTATTGTAAGTTGTTGGCAGCAAAATGTTTGTGCTGCACAACTTAGGGTGACGGTGTTGTGATGTTTTTATTTGCTTTGTTTTACTGAAGCTTGAACACTAGTCCTAAAATTGTGGAAGAGTTGTGTCACTGGTACACATGAGTTAGTACCAGTTTGGTTAATATGGTATCCTGCCAGGTAAAGTGCAGAACACACAGTTTATTTATGTGAAAGGAAAATGGTCTCTCTTTTCTTTTTAAATCTCCTCCTCTCATGTCTCACCTCCTGCAGTTCGACATGCAGAGGATCACCCTGGAGGAGCTGAAACACATCTTGTTCTACGCCTTCCGCGACCACCTGACCATGAAGGACATTGAGAACATCATCATCAACGAGGAAGAGAGCCTGAAGGAAAATTCTGGGAACTGTCAGACAGAGTTTGAGGGAGGTGAGCAAAAGTCCCTGAGCTATCTTCACACGCAGGCACTTAGGCAAGTGTGTGTGTGTGTGTGTGTGTGTGTGTGTGTGTGTGTGTGTGTGTGTGTGTGTGTGAATGAGATAGACATACAGTCTTTGGTGGATGTGTAGTGAGAGAGAAAGTAAGCCATGCTGTCAGGAAGAATTTGAGATGTACAGTCAACAGAGTCACAGCACACCTGCTGATTTATTGATTTGGGGTTGGTGGTGGGGACCTGCGTCAGCTGGTCACCGGTTCAGAAGTGGTACGGATGAAAAATGCATGACCTCGCTCTGCAAAACTAGCCATCCAAGATTTATGGAGTGCAGCAGAGGGTATTCGAGGACTTTTTCACTGTCTTGCTATAAAAATGGGAGATGTAATTGTTTCTTTCAAGTTCTATTTCAAACCATTTTAGAGTATTTTTGTTTTTATATGCCTGGTTTGGATTCAGATTCAGCCTTGTGAGTCCCTTTGGGTCTTGGCAGAAAGAACATTTGATCATAGAACAAGACTAAAAAGTAAAAACTTATAGACAGCCTAGTGTCACAGTGCTCAGTATGCAGTCCAAGCAGTTCTGTATTACCAACATATGCGCAGGGCACTATGTTAACAGGCATCTGTTTGGTTGTAAGTGAGCAGATGCTTGTTGCTGTTAAGGAACAGCCCTTATGTGTTCAAATAAACATTGTCACTTAAATTAATTTACCTCTCACTGCCCTCTTAACACGTCCATGCACGTCCCGCTGTTCACTCTCAGGCTTGTTTCTGTCTGCTGTCTGCCAGTGAGCACTGATTGGAAAGCTTCAGTGTCTTTGCAATGCGAAGTCAAAACAGATCATAATAGAGATTGATGTGCAATACAAAATTATAAATGAAAATTTTGAAATCTTAAGTTTTAATCTTGAACCTCCTGGCAATCTTGTGGCATGTTCAGAGCTGACTAATGCTGTGTTCAGGAGTAGAAATGTCATACTGAAAAACGCTGTATTATGTCACTGGCGTCCATTTTGTCCCGACACCAATCACAGGAATTTGGGGTGTAGGACAGGCTGAGTCATAACGTTTCCAGTTCCCACATATCCTGAAGGCAGCATGGTTGAGCAGGATCCCAGTCTACTTTGTCATGCAGTGAGACCGTCCTTATCAGAAGTGTTTGCAACATTAATAATACTGTACGTGTGAAATTCCACTGCACTGAGATTTTCCTTTCTAGTCAAGGTCGTGTATATTTCTTCTGTGAGCTAAATTGATGCTCCGAGGCCAAAAGGCCATTAATGTCCCTTTTTACCAAACACCAGCTGCCTGTGAATCTTGCCTGTGTACTCTTTTTAAAAATAAACGATGATCTACTGTCCCGTATGGTTAGAGTTCCTAACACAGCTCTATAGCTTTATAGGCTTCCGACTCAGTCGATAATGTGCCTATCCATTCATTCTCTGTGCAGCTTATTCTGTTCAGGGTCACACCCAGCATGCACTGGGTTGGAGGCAGGGACTCTAACAGGTACTTAAAACTGTGGGAGCACAGCACAGAAAAGACCCAAGCATCTGGTGGGTTAAAGGCCAGAGTGTTTTAACCTCACAGCCACATAAGGATAGTTCAGGGACAGATGGAGGACATGTCCCTCCAAAGCCAAAGCAATCAAGACACAGACACCTGCCTTCCCTGATTCTAAATCTTAAAAACATTAAGCTGTATTATGTCACTGGTGTCCATTTTGTCCCAACACCAATCACAGGAATTTGGGGTTCCAGCCTACTTTGTCATGCAGTGAGACCGTCCTCATCAGAACTGTTTGCAACATTAATAATATAGTAATAGATTTTTCCCTCTAGTCAAGGTCGTGTATATCTCTTCTGTGATGATGCTCAGAGGCTGAATGGCCCTTAATGACCCCCTTCAGCAAACACCACCTGCCTATGAATCTTACCTGTCGTAGAGGGACTTCACTTGGCTGACACTGGCGTCAATGAGGATGGACACAGACTGCACCAGCACTTTGTTAGGGTCTTAAAACTGGTGTAGACTGATGACAACATGATGTTCCTACTGGATTTATGATGAAAACTGACCACCGCAGGATCATACAGAGCAATCACATCTGTTGGCCCCAAGGTCCATGAGTACCACCTGCCACACAGGGACACCAAAATGTGCTCAGTCATGGAGAAATCAATATGTTGTGTCCCAGTGCGATTCATACTGAGTACAATTCATCATGCTACTCTGGTACTTATTGCTTCAGCTTACTGATATATGAGGTAGCATAAAAAGCTCTTGATTTCCCTCTGGCTTCACCTCGCTCTGGAATCAATATGGTGTGGAGCTGAAAAACAACAGAATAAAGAATGTAACCACTGATCCATAGAAGTTCACCAGGCACTGATTCATTGCTGAACAAATTGCACCAATAGCGTAAAGCGCGGCGAAACATGCTGGAGTAGCAGCTGTCCAGGGAGCGCCTGGCAGCCAGACCCAGGCGTGGAAATCAACTTTGATCCATGAATGTCGCAGCTGCCGTGCAGGTGTATAGATTTAAGGCTCCCATCTTAGCAATATGTTCATATTGCGCATGTCTACATCGTTTGAAGTTATAACTGACTTTTTCATATAAGTAACTATCAATTTTGGTTCAAAGCACAGCAGAATCTACTGGAGCACAAGCATATATTTAACATTTCCAATTTCAGCTTACTTTACTTACTTACAATTCATTTGATTCACTTGGGAAAAAAATAATTAAATCTCCCTTTACACCAGAGATCCTACCTAGGGTAAAATGGTATAATTTCCTAAAATTCCAATTAGCTCCCAACCTGAAGCTCATAGAGTCAACAGTAGTAGTTGGATCCCTTTGTACCAACCAAAGTCGCTCCGAGGGTAGACAGATATTCCTTTTATAACACTGTTTTCTTTCAGATCTGTGCTTTTGAATTAATCACAGTACCAATACCTTACGACTATTTGAACTACAGGTCAACTCATTTTGAAGCACAAGTGAATGTAGACAGCTGTAAGTCAGCAGCCTGGAAACCAGCGTATACTTCATTACCTTCATGACCACAGTGGTGCACTGAAGAAAATCCTTTGTGGATATTTGGCAGTGGTGTAGTTACTTTGGGCAGCTGAGGAGGTGTTTTATGAGGCTGACAGCAGGTTCGGGCGACTGGACTGAGAACTAATGTCTAGACCACAACTCTCCTCCCAACTCAACAGTCCAGCCAGCAGCTGGACACATGGTCTTTCCATTGACACCCCATCAACTCACCCGGACTTATACAACTATAGATAGGAGCTTGAAATCCCAGTAGAACTGCAAAAAAAACAACAATCTAACAAAAATCCAATTTAACAACTGTCTCATATTCAGCCTTCAAGATGTGTTTTTCCTCATATGAAAGATAATTTCACCTGTCAACAGTGGAGTTCCCTTTGTCTCAGACGTTTTGTAGAGATGATTGTTTTTAAAGAGAATAAGACATTTTGTTTCTCTAGTATTGAAGAAATGACACAGTTTGAATTCTACTGAAAAATCAGCTACATGATCTCAACCCAAATGGTTTGACATGTTTTACAAAAAAAATCTCATTTATTTTTGCAACTCAGGTGGGGCACAAACAAAATACACAGTAATAATAAAATGATTGCGAACGACAGGGCTTAAGTACAACAAGTGTTGCTTAAACATTTTTCTTCAAAAAGATATATAGTTTACAAATAACTTTAGCCTTATCTGATTGTAAGACAATTGATTTAAACATAAATGGGTGGTTTAAATAACACTTTTATAATCAAATACCTTTCTCTGTTATTCATTATGCTTACATTCTTCCCTTCAAACCAATATTTATCTTTTGAACTGTGACACAGAATAGGTATCTTCCTAACAACCCCTCATACCATTTTATTGTAGGTTGTCATTTTAACTTTTAGGGTGTACTTAAGAAATTTGAAATGTAGTTTTTCCAATATATCTATTTTTTCAAATCTTGAAACTTCACAAGCACAATGTAACTAGTGAAACCAACTTGTAAAAAAGATCTAGTGTAATAACTCAACTCAAAAAATCCTTTCAATAACAGAGTAAATGACTCAGTTGGGGGAGATTTTTTGTGTTGTGTCGCAGCAGTGGGGGCCTCAGAAGCGCCTCCTGTCACCAGGAGATCCCTGTGGAGAAAGTGAAAATCTTTCTACCTGCCCCTTCATCTTCAGTATTATGCCAATAGGTGAGACTGTGGTTGTAGTAGGCAGCTTCAAGGGGTGAATGTGAGCAACTGTGAGTGTGAGCATGGCGTTCCTGAAGAGAGATTTGTTCAGGTAAAAAAAAAAAAGTTGGTATAAAAACTCAAAAGCTCAACATTCATTTAGTGTTTGAGTTACGTAACCTTGGATAACTGGCTGCAAGCTCATTCTTAGATAATCTATTTGGCTAAAAATCACTTGAAGTCATGTTTTATATGATGTGAGAGTCTGGAATAGTATTTTTCAGCTGGATACTAATGACACCCCCTAAACTCAAAAGCCAAGAAAGATGTAGCAATTTCTGTCCTACTTTCCACATTTCATTTTCTTTGGAACAGCAGTCAAGAAGCATTTTTGATGACTTCAGTGCTTCTTGAATTTTCTGAGTTAAAAATAGCAACTGAGAGTGTGAGCCATGTGGCCGTGGGTCATTGGCCCAGCTCCCCTAATTTACCACGGCTCGGTAAAATCATCTCAGCCGCTCGCAGTCCACCGACCCGCTGCAGGGAAGAAGAGCTGCTGAGTTACCGGTCGGCGCCGGAGGTTGATCAAACCAGAAAATGATCTCATAGAGAGAGCTGAGGCTGCTGTTGTGTGAATGTGTGTGCCAGCATGGATTTCTATATTATGTCCTTAAGTTCAACATGCTGTCATTTACTTGTATATCTTTCATCTTTAAAGGGGGCATTATAGAGACAAAAAATCAATAGTCTTTAGGTGGAATTTGCTGTGCATGAAGCATGAAGCTGGTTCACCACCATTTTAATACGTCAGTTTTCTAATATTTAGTTTAACCACTGATTGACTTAAATAGGTTGGACAAAACACAATGCAAATCTTTATTGCAGGTAAGTTAACATCTGATGACGATGCCTGTGCTTTTTTTGTATAGATAAAATTAAAGAGCGCACCCCTGATTTAGTACTTACTTACTTGAAGTCACTGAAATCACAAGAGACCAATTAACAAACTTTGAATAGTCAAAATCAAACTGTGGCAGCAGAAGCCATGTGTTCAGTCCTAGATTTCCCATAATGCAAATAAATAGCATCCTTCATTAGATCTTACCCGCCTCCTAAACATGCATGGGAAATAACAGATTATATGTAAAGGAGTTGTATCAGGACATAAAAAAGGGAACGAGTAAACTGAATCTCAGCGTTCAACAAGGTAGATGAAAATATCTACATTCAAACTAGTTTTTTCGTTATTTTAGAGTTTTTAAACATTAGTATACTAGTATTCTGTAAAGCTGCTAGACTAGCCAATCCTCTTTATTCTGATCTTTATCTGTTGCTGTAAAATCAGTCTGGTCCTGTGAATTGTCACCTCAGTGTCCCTCTCTGCTGGTCACTTCCCAGCTACCCGCTGCTCATTCAGCTGGGATCCAGAGCAGAGCTGTTAATTCTGCCCGGCAACACTAATGTGAGATCACACCTCAAGTTTATTTCCTTTGGTCCCAACCACAGTGGAAAATTTCATTTTACAGCGTATTAGAAGTGGACATGGACCAAAGTAAGCCCAATGCACAAATAACGTGCAAAGGTTTGGCAGCTTGTTGTCTTGTCAGGTTTAAAGATTTGGACAGCAATGAAGTGGGATCCAATCATATGTTATTCCAGCCCTTGTAACTTCACTCATTGCTGAATTTGACTTTCTGTGCCATTAATACATCTTAAGAATATATGGAAGAATAGATGAAAATAAGCTTCAGTCTAGACCTCCTGAAGGTGTCGGTTTATTTTATTATGCAAGGTTTTCCAAGCATTAGATGTCAACATCCATCCTTAAATAACCCTATCCATTTTCTGCACTTGGTTTAAGTTTAAAATTCCTTCTCCAAAGAAACCACAAAGCAGAACTCTTGACAGAGGAGCAAGACTGGCATTTTCAGGCATCTTAGTGCAGTTATTTTGTTTTATTTGTCTGAATGCTATTATTCTCCCCGGGGGAGAGCAGTTGACCAATGAACTAAAGGAGTAAACACAGTATAAATAAACCACTCCAAATGTGGTTGTTGTCAATGCACCCTCTGTTTGCCTTTCTCTGGGTGCAGAACATGATAAATTAAGAGAAATGTCAGAAACAGAAGTGTTTCATCTTTTAAACTGGCACTTGAGGAACTTTTTTTCGAATTTGTTTTTCTTTTTGTCTCCTTCTCATTTCTCTTTCAGTTCACCCTTCGAAGAAGAACCGTCAGACATGCGTGAGGAAGAGCCTCATCTGCGCCTTTGCCATGGCATTCATCATCAGCGTCATGCTCATCGCAGCCAATCAGATGTTGAGGAACGGCATGGAGTAGCTGCGCCCACTGTGAGCGGGGAACAAGCCAGCCTGCATGTGCATGCCAGTGGGTGAGGTCATATCCCTGTTGATAAGAAAAGAACTACAAGGAATGACAGTCAAAATAATCATCGACAAAATCCATTTTTGAAATTATTCTTAGTTTTTTCGAACGAGTGGCACCTCTCCACCCAGCGTCCAATGAAACCGTGAAGCCAGCATGAGGAGTCATGCAGGACTCCTCCCCCTTTACTCTGACAGGGACACTCAAGGGCTGACATTACACATAATACTCTGTTGTGTCTGTTTCCCTGATGCAATAAAAAAAAGTAAAAGTAAAAAAAAAATGCTGAGTGCATGAGTTCAGAGCTGCTCGCTTTTCCAGCAGGCGAGATGTGACGTGTGTGTCTACAGATCTGTCACACACCAGGAGTCTGACGAGCTACCAGGGCTGCAGTCTGGGCCCCGAGAGGGAATGAGAGGAAAGGAACAATTGCCCTCTTATTATAGTTCCTGGAAGGATGATGGCAGAACTTGCCGCCACTCAAGTAGACAGATCTGTACGTGTCAGGCTGCAGCTCCTGGAGCTCTCATGGTGCTACGATACTTCAGCTCTCCAACTTTCTATTTTCATCTACTGCGTCCGTGGGCTGGTATGAAGTGCTGGCATCAGTTCATCAGCCCCAAAAACCAAGCAGTCAAGCGAGTAAAATGTTGAATGATAACTCCAGGCTTGTATTTTGGCCTTGTGATATTCATGAATGAATATAGAAGCTCTGAAAAATTTGGCTTTGGATCTTCTATTTCTCCTGGACACTGTTGGGTGAACACTGTTCAGAGTGAAAAGAAGAGCTTTCTGTGTCCTATTAAAGGAACAAAATCCACCCTTTCAGTGCTCTCACACTGTATATATAATCTATCTGTGGTGTTCAGTGCACTCCAAGTCCAGGAGTTATATTGCAAGGTGATTTAATTCAGCTTTTTGGTGTATCTACTTTCTCTCAGTTTGCCTCGTCTATTTCTGCCTCAGTTGGTGATTTCCTACATTTCCCAAAATTTCTTTGGACAACCCCCAGAGAACAGGTGTGAACCCATTGCATTCAGCTGTGCGTTAATGTGAAGGTGGAAAGAGCGAGGACACTGGTAAAAAAAACTAAATTGAACCATTTACTCTAAATGTTGAATGTCTTGTGGCTGTGAGTAATTCTGCCTTCAACCTGTCTGTTGGCACCGTTGCTAAATGAAGCTTTTGCTCTGCATACTTGAGGGACTGACACCAAAACCATATATACCACACATATCATGGATGTTCTAAATACTTTTTCTGCTATCAAACTCGGCACATCTGCGTGACCAGTATATCACCACCAACTGAGGATTTTTTTTTAACAGTGTTGAAGTGTTTTAGGGTGGATTTTGTTTGTCCAACTCACCACAAATCAACTCAGTGAATTAAAACTTACTGCTGTGAAAAGTTGAATCCCCTTCAGTTTCCTGCCCAAGTTGCTAATAATAACTTAAAGATTTTGTTTGTGCTTTGTTTCCTTTTACATTTTTTTTTTTAGGGTATTAGTTTTTATTAGTTTTAAATCTGAATGTTGATAAAATAAAAGGGTGTCCAAAACAAAGGCACATTTGATGTATCTTCTATTTGATCAACTTTTAGTGGTTAGTCTTTTTAATCATAAAAAATAATCTTAACTGATTCATGTGTGACTCTCATGGTTTAGCACGTTTTCTGCATTTGAATCCATCCTGCAACCTAAAGCTTTTCCTGTTGTGTGATAGAAATGACTGTGCAGACCGCAGATAAAGAAACAATTTTAAATAATGTTGAAGAATTCTTCTGTAAAAACTTGTGGGGTGTGTAACTTTTCTCACAGCACTAGATCATTCAAAGACACATCTTGTCATGTTGATTCCTGCTGAAGTCGGCTCTGAACTCCTGCACTGACTCCCATCTCAACATGTAAACCCAGTCAGAAACACCCATTATCAAGTGCATGCGATCAAGTCAGTGTCTTCTGTAAATACCGTAACCCAACGTCCAAAGTGTCTCAAGTGTCTGTTGAAGGTGTTTCTCTGTATGTGCATGACTGTCGGTGCTCTCTGCTCACTCGGGTACAGAGGTGCAGGGAGGGGGATCAGCAGATAGAGAGGCGGCTGCTTCATCACAAACATGTCAGACGCAGGCGGTGAAGGCCCTTTCTGCTTCCTCTCAACCCTCTTGCCAAAGCCATAGAACTCCGCAGAGGTGAACCAGACAACACAATATAGACGTTTTCTCCCTGTTTCAACATGAAAACACAAGATCAAACGGGCCTTCTTTGGCAGAAATATGTCTATCGTATAGGATTTGGTTTGTTTTCGTTATTGTTTTTGCACTGTACCTGTCATCCATTCCAATAAAATGACAAGGAGGGCTTCAGGCATGTGCAAGAGTGCCATCTAGAGGTGAAGTAAGATCATATTGTCTATGCTGTTCTCCCATCACAGTATTTGTGTATTTCTCTCTAAGCATTATGGGAATGTGATACCAGGCATCCTATTCACAATGTCTTGTTGATCTTAAATGTTAAAATATGAGGATTTTTATGTATAATGTATAGATTGACTTTGATCTACCAACACTGCAGGTAGAGCAGCACTTGTATGTGAACACATATTTAAACAGTGTATTTATAGGAATAGATTTCTTGCCTATGGCAGAAAAAGTCCTTTTGAACGTGTAAAAGGTTTATTCGCAGATGATTTACCAATCTTACATTTTGCAGACTGAATAAAGAGTACTTTGTGCAAAAACAGTCTACAAAACCTTTTAGATCACACTGGTTTTGATTTTATTTTTCTCTGAAAATGTCACACTGATTAAAAACTGATTTTGTTCTTGTTTTTTTATCTGTCAATCGTGCAGTATTGGTGGAAATCTCCCACCAAATTCACAGCTAGACACTGCTGCCATGTAGTGGTTAACTGGAAAAGTGTTTAACATTTATTTGTTCTTTGAGAAGAACTTTTACATTTTATTTTAATTCGGTTTATTTTTGGGGAATGTGAGTTACAGTTACTGTGGTTATAGTTTTGCTGTAATCCAACTGCCCCTGCAGAATGGTTGCATGTGTCAATCGTTGAAGTACAGTTTTATTTCAGAGGGGAACCGCACAGTGTCTCTATAGTAGCATGGTGGTTGGATCCCACACGTTTTTGTTATGTAACTTTGTACATAGCTAATAAGGAAGCATATCTATTAGACAAGCACACACTATACATACTTTGCATGTGCAATATTTAAACATGTAGACTAGAGGAAGACTTTCAGTTGTACTATTTATTAGAGGCATAATAATTATGTAATTGTAAATACAGAAATCTGTACAAAAGTCAAAGGATTAAGCATTGAGGCAATAAAACTGTGTTTTTTTAAAGGGTGCTTTATGTTTTATTTTACACTGGACTTCATCAAGGTAGTTATCAGTTCATTAGCCACAGGGATCAAACATATTGGTTGCAGGACAGTCTCTAACATAAACTGAACCTGAAACTGCTCAGCTATCTGCTCATTGTTGTGTCACATCGTGACCTTCAAGAACGCACTCCTTAAATATACTTTAAATCAACCTATTTGTCATAAATGCAAGTGACTGACATGCAAAGTCACTAATTCCAAGTAAATGTCAACTTTTATAAGAGCTTTCATGGTTTAAAAGTACAGGAGTTTTCCCTTAGTGTGTAAATGTGTATATACTGTATGTTTATAATTGAGGTCATAGTAAAAGGTGGTGTTGTACTAGACTACATTACATTGAGATGTTTCTAAGATGGTGTCCTTTCCCGTAACATGAGGGGGAGCAGAATATTAGACACACATCTCAGAGTAACATAGTCCAATACCTCAAAATAATATTAACTCAGTAATAAACATATAAGATGTAACACATTTATCAGCTGCGTACATGTAGATTTTAAGGTAAGGCTGTTGTATTGGATTGTATTAAATTAGCCATAAAGTGGCCACTGGGTGTATATTATCTATTTGCTCTATTTGTGACCACAGTAAGACCACAAGAGGGTAGCATTAGACACTGAGATGGTGAAGCTGAGGGCTGTAAAATACACTGATACAATACACTTCTAAAGCTGCCATATGTTATCAACAAACCATAACCTTTTCAATACCTCAACATACAGAAGAGTAAATACAATTATTCTCATTTTGTAACCCTATTTTATGTTTGAGTTTGTCCCTGTTCACTCGTTTCAAAAGGTAGACATCTTATTTTGAAACCAAATTGGTTATTACATTTATTTTGTAATCTCATATCTGGTCCTGGCAGTCCAAATTTTCACATTTATTTTGTTTGCATTACAGCGTAAGTGGTGCTGTAACTGTAAAGCATCCATTTCTGCCTGATAATAATGTCTATGTTGCCATGTTACACATATAATTGCAACTCATCATCCAGCAGAGAGCAGGCAGAGGTGACAGGTCTGCAGGGACACAGACCTGCAGTCGGGTAACTAAACACAATCTCATGTTGCACAGACTGCATGACGTGATCATTTTTGATATCACTGATTCTCTGTCCTGTGATTAAACCAGCTTCTGTTATCTGCTCACAGGGAGCTAATGAACACTTCTAGTGAGGACAATTGTGTCAATATGGAAACTATAACTGATTATGTTAAATGATTTCACTCATAAACAATAACACATTCATATAAACAAAATGAGATTCTGCCTCCAAAATAAGGTTAAGAAATTATTCCAATAAATCGAATTGACTAGAATGTTATTATCTAAAATGATCCTTATTTCCAGTCTACTAAGCAATTTTCTGTCCCTCTAGCATCCATCTTATACAGTACCTGAGTAACATAGCAAGAGTATGTTAAGTTCATTTAATCAGACTTGGTGTTATTTATAGTAACAATTGACTGACATTTAATAGGATTTTAACCAGCATATATTCATCTTATTTAATACCAGGAGGAGATGCCTGTCGTTAAACAGTCTGATCAGCATTCAGTGTTGTGTTAGCATGCAGGCTCTGTCCTCCAGAGCCACACCACCCTCTCCCGCTCTCTCCTAGAAAAAGGCCCTTGTGCTCCCAGCAGGCTCCTCCTGTTTCATTTACATCTTAAGCATTTAGCTGATGCTTCATCCAGAGCAGCTCAGTGAGAGTAAGCAGTAGGTGTTCAGCGTCTGGTTCAAGGACACTTTTCACAGGACACACATCGGCTACAGGATTGAACCCATAACTTCCCGTTTATAGGACTGTCCCTGTCGGGCCATCTGGCTGCCTCAGACGATGTCGTGTAATATTTTGGTAGAGCACTTTTATAAAGGATATGTGATTAAACTATTCATAAGCCAAGTTGGTGTTCACAGTTGCACCAGATGCCATGCAGCTGGGAGCTGAGGGTGAAATCTTGTTTGACGTAGTCTATTTTTGGAGATTATTTAAAAGGAAAATCTTACAGTATGAGAAAACATTTTGACCAAAACCATGCAAATGGATGGAGCAGTTAAATAGAAAGTGGCACAGCATGGTGGCTCTTACTCTGCAGAGTCTCAAGCTTATTTGTAGTCCAGAGAGGCAGAAATGAAATACTTTATCAACTGAAAATATGAATGTTGGTATAGGAAGTTAATAACATAGGGATATGTTTGTATCTATTAAAAAGAAGAAAATTTAATCTGATTGAGAGCAACTAAAAAGTAAAGCTCAAAATAAAAATTACATAAAACAACAAAATCAATACTGTACACAGTTCATAAGAATTCATAAACCGTAACTCTTCCCTCAGAAACAGCAACCATGCAAAAACCAGGAAACCAGTTGTTTATTGGAAGACAATCTTGGGAGCAAAAATCCAACTGATAACATTGAATTAATTGAATATATGACATCATATACATCTCAACACATGAACAATATCAGCCTTAAAGGCCTCCAGCATTTCCACAATCGATACACTTGTGCACTTTTCCATTACTGACTCACTCTTCCTCTCAGAGTCTGCAGTTCCACCTCTGTGTCCACAAAAGTGCTTCAGGCTACAGCCCGTTTTTGGCCATCCGCAGTAGTTATGGCACTCGGCAGGTAACAGAATAAATTGGCTCCGCTCAACTAAACTTTGTCCCCATGTGCATACAGTACTTACAATCATGCTACAAGATGTACTGCATTTGGTGCTACCGAATGCTTTGAGTAAAAATAACAATAAAAAAGACAAATGCGTCCACGACATATAAAACCATGATTTAGCCCAGTAGCCCTCGACAACGTGATTTTTGAGATGATTTACAATAACTGCAAAAAAAACATAGGCTCCAATACACCAAGTAATATTTATTGTTAATGCCTTGTTCTTCAAATTATAAATATTTACAGGCTTCTGTAAGAAGAAAATAATAATCAGTTTTGGGCATTGATGTTTAATTAACTGTTAAATGTATGCCTGTCATTAAGTAGGCACTCCTTCAGGTATCTTAAGCTAAAATGTTGAACCACGGATGAAGCCTATTACAAACTACCAGTGTATTTTGATCAGTGCATGTTACTGAAAATTTAATTCCAGGTATTTTATTCTTTTACTCATCTTAAAAGACATAACATGATACAGAATGAAAGAATGCAGAAACATTTTGAGGATGAAGATAGAAACCTTATTTTTTCCGAACATAAGACAGAACACAGTTTTGGCTAATCAAACCTCCGTTACACAGTAGAGAAGTGGCACATACAAGAATTATGGCAACGTCACATTGAAAGTGTGTCAAATTCAGATGGAGAGAGAAACAGTCCTCATGCTAAACTTGCATCATTGTGAATATCCAGTTCATAAAAAACCATCACCTCTGTCGCTGAGATGTTCACAGCAAACCATCTCAGTTTATTTCTTGAGAAGCCGAGGAGCCTCCGCCTCATCAGTTGTCCCTCGGCCAAGCTGAGGTCAGCTGACACCTCTTGAAAATGGCCTCTGGTGTCATTGGTCCCGATGAAATTGGCCTGCCGACTACTGCTTCATGATGTTCTTGATGGTCCACCTCTGCCCGGAGCAGGGCTGCAGGACCAGCAGGTGGCCGAAGTAAACGTTAGCCGGCACCACCTCCAGACAGCGTCCCGTGGCTCGATTTATCATCGATTCATTCTGTATAGTGAGAGGAGAAACGACGTTCTGGTTTTATCAGGATTAACAGATGGCCTGTTAACCACATGTGACTGTGACAGGATGTGACAAGAGCCAGGCCTGATATGGACAGATGTTTCTCATTTAATCTTCTCAGGTATTAATTATAGTGTTTTAATTGTGAAAAATAAATGCAAATACACAAAAAAATCCCCCATTGGAGCTACATAATACTAACACCTCACAACTAATGTTGTAAAGTTCCACATACTGAAGATCTTTTAAGCACAAATAAATTAGTACATTTTGGTGGAAATCTTCTAAATTGACTTGACTCACAAAGTAAAGTTTCTCAGCGAGCACCAACCAGGATTTCATAGTTGATTTCTATTTGAATAATACGTGATACTTGGTCTGAACGGTAAAGACCTTTTTGCCTTTTTTTCCACATCAACATCAGCATGTCACATTTGTTCAGTCATTTTGTCGATTTGTTCAGTTGTAGTTTGACAGGGACACGTTAAAAAGTCATTTTGCACTGGTAGGCGAAATGTGGTCCATACGAAGACATAATTTCAGTAAATTTATGTTTCATAAACTACAGGAATATCATAAATATTGAACTATATAGGCTGTGTGTGGTCGACAAAAAGCTTCCAGGACATCCTAATGCAAGCAGTTCTGTACATGAATGTAAAATAAGAAATTGTGCTTCCTGCTGTAAAGTGCATTAGGCATATTGCTTATAGCTTTGACTACTCCACAGGCACTGGGACATTGGGTATTGCGAGAAGGTAGAATTTTTGCTAAAAAAGTGCTTCTTGGCAAAAAGGCCTTAGGATGTCAGGTAACATAGTATAAGAAGTGACAAAGTCCTTAGATTGGCAGCAAGATGTGTTGGATGAGTGCTTCGAGCCCTGTGTGAGGTGAGTTTTTATATGTAAAGTGGCTTTCAACTGAGAAACTTGGATGCAGTTTCAGGCTCCAAAGTGATGATAGGCTATTATTTGCACATAGTAGAGGATGAAAACTTTCACGATTGCAAATCCTGGTGAAATATGGTCTAAATGTGAGCATTCAATTGTCTTCAAATGGTCTGTGTAAAAGCTTTCATTTTTGAACCAGTGCAGTTTGTCTTTTCACTGGGGACCATAGACATTTTGAACAAATTGTCAACTGAAAAATGTTCACTGGGTTTAATCTTTCATCCCTCTAACATTACATTATTTATATTATTTGGCAACACAAAACAATGAAATTCTGCTTTTAGTAAAAAAAAAACATCAATTGTTTCACTACACAAAACAGTTTTCTTTCTACTTCTCACCTGAGAGAAATGCCATGTCTTCTGCTTCACATTGGTCACCTTGTCACAGTTCAGGAGCTGAGGAAAACTGTTGATCTGATCATCCACCACACAGCGAGTGTCCTCTCCAGTGCTGCCCAGGGGGCCCAGGAACAGCTGACCCTCTTTGGTGTAACGTCCCAACTGAGGGAAAACATGCCAAAAAGAAATTTAAAAAAATATATAACAAAGCTAATGTGAGTTTGTGGGAGCTTTGGTGAACTGATGTAACTAACAATGCAGAAGCTAACCTGCAGTTATGCTCTGAGCTTTGTGATAACACTGAACTTAACAACTAACTGAGTAGATTTTGTGAACTCAATATCATGTCTCCACTGGCTCAGCCCATGAAATAAAAATGATGATGTGATGATGTGCAAGTTGGAGGCAATTTGTCTTCAGAGTTCTAAAGTTTGTGAATCTGGAAGAAGCTTTCCTTCATTCTGCAGGCTGCTTTTTTGCTTGCTTTGAACATAAGGAACGTGTTGTTCCAAATAGTACTGGGAGGCTTGATATGTATTTGTACTTTGTACAAACTGTTACACTGTAGCACTGTAGCTTGTTTGTAAGACTATTCTGCAGAACCGCACCCATTTTATCTAAACTGTGTCTAAATCACAGTGCTGCCTCCACAATTTGCAAACCAACTAAGATCCCAAAGATCAGTTTGCTCAAATCAAATTCAAAACAAAACATTGTCTGGGATGGAAACTAGTGAGAAACTTAATTGCATAGTAAGTGACAACCCAAGAGCAACATGACAAAACCTGCCTGTAAGTTAGATTCTGCACCTTGTGCTCGGTAGCCTTTAGTCCACTAACTGAACTGAGCACTGAACGCTTTATTGCAACAAAAGATATTTTGTCAGCAGTGAACGTTCAACTCTAATCGGGTGTTCAAGGACTGATTGTATAATGTCTTCTGAAAATCTGAAAACAAAGGGTGAGTTGCAGTGTGTCACATTGTAGTGCAGGACTTTACAGTAAAAAGTTACCAACAGAAGGTGAAGTTAAATGTCAATGTTAAAACACATGCAGAGGACGTAGAACTATGTCATGTATTTGCAGTACATGAGCCAGGTGTTGTAGGTATATTTTAGGCTTAAAATCCTAAAAATCCTGCGTGTGGTCCCTAGAGGTCACCCCTGCTTCTTAAGACACATTGGGACACAGTTGCCTGCATAAAGTGCGGGTGAGAAATTGCTACACTAATAAAAATATAAGCTTGTTTGTTTCCTCAGATGGATAACTTAAAAATGCAACTGAAGTGAGTCCTTTGTTGGAAGGGTAACATTGTGCTGCACTCACTAGCAGAATTTAAGTTATTTTTAGCTCTGCTAGCTTTTAGCATTTTACTACTGGAGCCAAGACCTGTGCTCGCCGAAGCACCTGTTTACCACTGCAAGCTAAAACGAGATGCCCCACGGGCTGAAGGGCTGAGGAACTGACACTGGCTGACTCAGGACTTCAACACAAAAAAGTGCAACACAGAAACATTTTTATCCTGACAGCAGAACTCACTCCTAAGAGGATTTCAGCTGAGTCTGAGTGAGAAACACAGCTGTAAATCACATCACTGGTGAAAGACTCTAATGAGTTGTGTGTGTTTCAAGAGAGCAAGCACAGATAGTGGTCAGAGATGCATTCTGTGGCAATTTTGTTCAGCGTCCAGTGTCCATGCTGTACCTGAGGACCCCATCCATGGCAGGGGTGCAGGGTGGCTGTGTGGTTCTCCTTCATACCCTGATCCATACACAGGTGGCTCGCTTTAGAATTCCGAATCTGAAATCAAAAAGCGCCTTTGAAAATTACACTGAAAGTCACTAGGCACAATTCTTTGTACCAAGTCCTAATATCCCCAAACACTGTTTAGGTGTATTAGATCCAAGTGCAGATAAAACATTATATATATGCTCTCTGAGTGCTTTCTAGCTGTCTTTTTGTTCGGGGTTAAGATATTTTTTTATAAAGCCCTCAGGATTTGTTTTTCCTACCAATCTCTCACTCATCTGTTCTCAGTGCCTTAATCCATTTGTGCAAATGCACGAAACTTGATGTACAAGCTTATCTTGTCAGTCTCTTTCTCCTCAATGTCATTTTGACTGCTGACTCACCTCGCCGTAGAACAGCGTGTTGTTGTACCTCCTCATCTCTGGGTAAACGTTGTCGAGGTACCACTCAAAGCTTTTACACTGCAGACTCTTCCGCAGTGCAACCCTCTGAGAGATGTCTCCGTAATCAATACCGTGGTTCTACAAGAGCACAAGGAGTCATTATGGGAAGTCTTTGCTTTACAGAGCTTTTTCCACATGAATAGTTAAAATGGTAATCCAGAACATTTTACCATTTTACCACAAATATCTATTGATTACTAGCACAATGATGATTCCCAGTTTCTAAAAGATTGTTATTTTGTTGTTAAAAACGGCTAGAAAATGATCTGCGATGCAGGAAAGGGTCAGCGACAGCATCAAAAGTTCATGTGCAATAAAACAAAGTAGTCGGCATGACCAACCACCATGGTTTTGCATTGACATTAAAGATAGTGAGCATAAAAAACTTTGCTTACACAGGGTCCAAGAAGCTTACGCACCTATGATCTATAAATCTCAGTTACTTAAAACTGACAGCACCTGCCTTTCAATCAGATATGTTCCCTTATGTAATGCTAGCATCTTTCTAATTTGACACAGTGTAGAACATTGCAACTTGTTTTTGTTTCCACCTTGCATCTGGCAATTCATTCCTCACTCCAACTGATCATTTCGATTGCATTGTTCATTAAGCTAATGCAAAGTTCACCACAGACTAAGTGTCCTAACCTGCAATACTCCTGCATAATCAGCAGGAAAACCACTTAAGTCAAGTCTAGGGTTTGAGATAAGATCTTTTTCACGTCAAAGTAAGTTTTTATAAATAAATGGAGCGAAGCCTGCGAGCTAGTTCAGGCAGTCAACTCGAGCTGCACTGCTATACACACACGACATGCCTCACTCCATAATCACTAACCAAGCACACCCTGCCCTGCATCTGTATTGCTGCCTGCTGCTCTGTAAGCTATTGCTGCCTGCTGCGTTGTAAGCCCCACCACCACCCCAGCATCCACCTATAGGCTCCGGCTAGGGGTTTAAGGTATTTGCTCCCGCAAGTCATACTTAAAATTGATCGTAAGTCCATTTTATAAATAAGTCCTGAGCTGCAGGAGTTGTCACCACAGAAACATCCCTCTCTTACCTCCACAGGGATGTTCCAGGCCAGGTAGACATTGGACTTGTACTCATCCATCCAGACCTCAGCCACTCGTAGAGCATTACGCCGCGTGTGGAAAGCTATGTTACTGTGGTAGGGTTTCTTCATCCGTGCGATGTGAGCCACCCTGGAACAAGGCAGCACCTCCATACTGCCTCCACAGAGCCACACCTGCAGGTAGATGGTGTTAAAAAACAGGGGGATTAACTTAAACAGTAATACTTCTGGTCCAGTAGAAGGCAGAATATACCACCACAATGTCCCCCATCTTATAAAGTTAATAATGGCTAACAGCAAACAGGGAGCAACATTAGCAGTTTGGAGTCATTTCTCTCTCCTTTAAGCTCTGATTTGGGCTCCGCCAGGTTCTGTCTGGCTTTAGATGTTCCACCTCCTTCACCAGTAAGTTGCACTGGTGTATGGCAGGTAGCATACAGTGGGAGCTTTTTGCTGTAAAGAAGCCTATAGTAGTTGATCTGTGGCGAGACTGAATCACACGGTAAATGTACCATCAAATAAAAACAATGAGCTTAAAAACACTGTTGAAGTGCAGAGTTGGGTATTCATTCTATGATTAGGGAACTACAAGCATTAGACATTACAGAGTAATTTAATTGAATTATGTTAATATCAAATAATTGATCCAATCAGGTTGAAAGTCTTACACTTGAATTTAGTCGTCATACAAATATCGACACTGAGAGATATTAGAACAATGTTTGATATTCTTTTTTTTTTGCCTTTTAGAAAAAAAAACACAATAGGCATACAGAACAACAACTAACTCTCCATTCTCTCAAGATATACAGAACTCCCCAACCTTCCCGCTCTACGTGACCTATTTATCTCCATTGCCCTGCTGTGAGCTGCACACACAGGACTGGTCCTCCAGGATTCTTAATGGGGCCTCATTTATCAGTGCTGCCATGCTACGGTGGCCACTGCTCCACTTACACCTACAGGGGTAAAGAGGGAGCAGGAACAAGAGGAAACTGGGTGACACACAAACCCTGATGCCCAGTTCGATGTTCTCCCCTCCGTAGACATCCATGCCCGAGTCGAGCAGGCCGAGTTCGCCGAAGTAGTCCCGGTTGGCCACAAAGGAGCAGCCAATCATGGCGGGAGTCCTGAGATGAGAAAAGCACAACAATATGAAAAGAAGTGACACTAAACATTTGCACCTGCACATGTGGTGTGTGTGGATTAGTAAATGTAAATCAGAAACTTTGTTTGTATGCATTTATCATGAATGCAGGATGCATGCAGATGTTCAACCATAATATGTGAATCTGCATGTTTTCATACATGTATTTTCATTTTCTATTTTAAATAACATGGTAATTTATCACTGTTTATTTTGAATTTCAAGAAATGGATGAAAATCGGATTTAACATAAATATCAGGGTGAAGATCAGATTATAAAAATCCCATTTGCAGCACAAACACTCTGTACTCGTCTGGTACTTCATCAGCAGCTTATTTGTTATTTTTCCTCACTCATCCCAAGGGGGTTTCTACAAGAACTTTTGATAATGTGAGGATGTGCAAATCTTTTCAGAAAACATATTTGATATTGTTATTTTTAATGAAAATCATGAAGAACCGATAAAGATGAGCTTGTGGGTTTGTATGTGCAAATCCAGAGCAGAATCTGCATTCTATAGCCTGTACACTGTATATGTTTGCTAAAGCAGACATATATGTAGGCTCCATTGTTGCATTCTGTTGTTTGGTAATGGCTTCCTGTAAGTGTGTGTTTAAATAGGTGAAGGTCTCTTGCCTGATGGGAGCGGATATGTCCCCCTCATCCCACCACTGTTTGGGGGGGTTGATGTACATGCACCACAGCTCCCAGTTGTAGCCATGGCCTGAGTTCTCATAGCGCTCCACCTCGAACGTGTCATGCCTGATGTTATCAATGGAGGGCAGAATAATCCTCTTGTGGTCCTCTTTTATTCTGGCTAGAACCGGCTCGGCCCTGGCAAGAGCGTAAACACATATGCATGTACACACTTTACAGACGCAAACTTCAAGACAGGCGGCACAGAGCTTCTCTTAAGATCTGCACTCGTTCACCCACTTCAGTCAGTTATAAAGTCCCTCAAGTTGTACCAACTTTATAATAAATTCCATTTGATTCAGCTCAGTGCAGCTCTGGAGGGCATGTGTCTATGTATGCTGAGTGAACTGGGTTGTGTACATACTCTAAAGTACACAGTGAGCTGGAAAACGAAGAGGAGACCTACAAAAAGGTTGCAAGCAGCCAAGTGTTTACATCTCGGCCAAATCAGTTTCATCTTTTAAATGATTCCTTGAAATGTACTTTTATGAACAGGCCTTTGAGTAATGTCTTATTTTATTGCTCGCTTTATATTTTGTTTGTTATTTGATGAGCTATATGTCCTACAGTATCTTTGAATCCTGATTCTACAGGCTCTACCCTTCTTCTTCTCTCCTTATCTTAAAACTTCTCAGGTGTGAAATTGCTTTTTGTGTGTCCGTTTTATGCTGCCTCTGCTATCCTTTGTCTTCTCCCACAATGATTCTGTAAAGCACTTTGTAACTTTCTTTTAAAAGTGATACATAAGTCTATTATTCTTATTGCTGTTATCACTCTTTGTATTTCAATGGGTCTTGTACTGTTTGCTTTGGATACTCAGTTCCAATATTCATAAATGAGCCATAACGTGGCATGCCAGAACATTTGTTTTCACCTAATGACCCCTAATCCATTTGAAAGAGTAGGTGTCAATAGTTTCATCCACATGCCAGATTTACTCACCAAGATGGGGTGAACTCCACATGGGCGTCAAAAAATCCTGTCACCTCAGCAGTGGCCACCTTCCAGCCCTCGATTCTGGCTCGGATCAGTCCCTCTCTCTTCTGGTTCCTGACGATCTTCACCAGGCCGGGGTAGCGCTTGTTCACGTACTCCTCCAGCGGTCCTTTCAGCTGCTCTGCAGTTTGTAAGACGAAGATTACACACCGAACAAAGCAGGTGATGGTTAGAAAGGCTGTCCTCAAATCTTAGATCACAGCATCAGCCTTCCTGCTGATGACCTTGTTCTTGAACAACATATGAAGCCCTGTTAGTTCCAGATTTGCAGCACAGAACAGTAGCTGACCCTGACCTCTGACCTATTAAATAAAGGCGGTAAAAGAATATTCTATCATTTCTCTCCAGCTCTAAGTAAAATATATTGTTGCAATTTCAAAAAAACACATTTACATCTTTGCAAATCTGCTTAATTAATCAAAGAAGAAATGTGGCACATTTAACCTTTTTATTAGTTAATTGCAGTTAAATCCAGACTCCAATGGTTTAGTAAAATGTGTGAAATTAAGCAAAGAATCCAGTGAAGACATTCCTCAATCTCCTATTTAGAAAAACAGACTTTGCACACATAACATCATTGCTGCGCAGTAAACAACTGCATTAACTGAGCTAGCAGAGACCAGATGTTTCCATACAGGTACAAATAGGGATAGTTCATAGAATCTTAATGCACAGCTTTAAAATATAGATGAGCTATTCAGCTGGCCTGACCTTGAGCACCGACCTGTACACGCTGAGGTAGATGGGCACAAACATCAAATAGCTTCACATCAATTATTTCCCCCATTTATTAGGATAACCATCACATTATCTCCTGTCCGATTGCCAAAGAACACCGCTATGATGTACGCCGACTATTTTGATTACACTGCCACATCACACAGGCCCGACACAGGCATAAACAACCAAACAAAAAACAACCAAACCACAATGATCACTTTATAAAAAAAGAAAGACACACAAATGACGCTCACACAGAAACAGAGAGATGATAAATCTGTTCTCTCGGTTCCCTGCGGTGCTGTTTTGAGCTCCGACAGACTCCACACAACACCAAACAGAGTCTGCGGCTTCCTGAGCGCCAGTCGACTGCTCCACCTTTGATCTCTCAATCAACTTATCAGCCTTTTCCCCCCAGACCCAAACACAGTACTTCTTCCTCTGCATCACAAACACACGTATACTTAAAAATTCCCCTTACACAAAAACACATTTCTCATGCTCTCTGTGTTTTAGATTTCTTTCTCTCAGCCTCTTTTTATTTCTTTCTCCCTCACAACGGCTCGTTATCACCAGCTATTTTCCTATGATGCGTGTAAGAGCCGCAATGTGACAATATAGGCAAATTTAAATACTGTGCAAAATTAATCTACCACACATAATTTCTAGTCAGTGCATGAACACATGTAAAGTATAAATGTACAAAACCAAATATATACTGTGTCTTCTCTCTCTCTCTCTCTCTCTCTCTCTCCTCATACACACACACACACACACACACACACACACACACACACACACACACACACACACACACACTACATCTTTCATACACACTCGGGTGTGTACACTGCGAGGCCAGGGAGTCGGGTGACTCGTGTAGGCATTGAGAATGGTGAGTGTTATTTGTTTGCATGCCTTGCCCTCTGCGCCGCTGCAATCTCTTCCTCCTCTGTGATGGATAGCTGTCTCTCAGCCAACCAGCAGTTTCCAGTGTGAGAGGAGTGGAGGGGGGGTGCAGGGTCGAACTCTCTAATTCCTTTTTCCCTGCCTCTTTCTCCATCAAGCTCCTCAAACACTTTTTTGGAGGATAAAAGTGGCGATATGACGAAAATGACAATGAATTGATTCTACAACAAGTACTGTTTACTTATGAGCCAGAGACCTCCATTGTTCTCCAAAACCATTCCTTTGGTGGAAAGGTGGCACTGTATCTTATTTTGAGTCAGTGCCTCATCCTGCTGCCAAAAATACTCACAAGACCACCAAACGTGTATAAAAGGAAAATTGTGGTTTATTACAACTGGTCTCGTTTCCAAAGGTTTTAATAGAGTCCGTAAGGGGAAAAAAACACAAGCTATAAAGACTAGATTGGTTGAATTACTTCATTTAAAAAGGTAAAACTTTTAGTCAGTGCACCTGTAATGTTGTTATTAATCGCTCATTGCACAGGAAAGGTGCGTGCACACAATTACAGCAAGAAAGGTAGCTCAAAGTATAAGTTTACAGTTTGTTTTTGGTTTATCTTTCTCACTTGTTTCCAACCTGTCTGAGACCTCCTGTTTCTTGCCCCATTAGACATCTTATTAGTGAGGTTGCAAAATCTCAGTAATTAACTTGGTGAGTACAATGTCATTTCTATCAGTAGGAATAATACCAAAAACAACAAAAGCAAGACCCAAACCATAATAACTGGTCCAAAACAAATGCACTATTTCCTATTCACTATTTCCTGCTTGAGTGATATGAGCTGCAGTGCCAACTCTTTAGATGATAAATGATTAAGCCTTTTTTTAATGAAACCATATATTTGAGACACTTAAAGGTTTATGTAGGGAAGTCAGAATGTGTTGAGTGACAGACGACGGCATCGTTGGTTTTGGTCCTTCCATGAGATTTGTTGAATTTCAGAGAAATAGAAAAATGCCAGCCTTATCCTTCAAAGCCTCGACTATCTCATCTCTTTCTTCCTGTTTCCTCGTTATTTTTCTTTGCTTTCCATTCTGTCTGATTGCTTCCTCTTCCTCTCTTCCGGATTTCCATTGCCTTTCTCCTCTCTGTCCGACCTCATTTATCTTACAGGCTCTCTGTCTCTCATCCCTTTTCTGTCCCTCTTTCTGCCACTTTCTCTAATAGCCTGGTTGCTCTTTCAGCCTCTCTTTTCATTCTCTGATGCCTCTTCATCGCCGTTCCTCTCTTCTTCATTCTCCCTCCTTTTCAGTTATACCTATTTTCAAATCCCTCAGCCCTATTCACTCCTCAACCTTTTCTTTCTTTTAGATTCATCCCTTTTCCCTAATTTCTCTCCAACACCAACACCCTTTACTCTTTATCTTTCCCAAACCTCCTTTCTCCTTTTTGCTCTTCCTGGTTTCCTCTCCTTCCCCTCCCCTCGTCTCTCTCTCTGTCCCTTCATCTCACAAAGCCCAGCTTGGCAGCCCTGCCCAATAAATAAGACAGGGACATCTCTCCTGTGACATCCAATTGTGGCGCTCCGCCTCTATCTGCCTGTCTGCCCTGTGAGAACTCCACACCATCAGTCACCTCCGCAAATGCTGCTCCTCAAAAGCAATGACCACGGCTTTTGTCAAGGAGATGCTCGTCTCCTTGTCACGCCAACAAAGCCACATTAGGAGTTTAAGCCTTTGTCTCATAACAACATGTCAGAGAGCAGCATGTCAGCATGTTCAAGAGTAACATACATGCACAAGCGTGAACACAGGCTTTGTGTTATGTTTGGAGGGTGTAATGTGTTTATATTCCTACTGTTAAATACTGTCTGGGACCAATAACTTCTTGGAGGCTCTGCGAGTTGCCTGGCAACTGCTCAGAGTCAAGAAATTGTCCGGCACAGGACCCCCTGTAGAATAGCAAATTGTTGCTTTACACTTTTTGTAGGCACTAAATGTATATTCTGCCATATCATTTCATTTCCATGTCTAGGCTAAAATCCTGGCAGTAATGAAAGTAAAAAGTAATGAAATCTTCATTTTCTGACATTCCAGGAAAAAGCCTCATTTTTAGTATCTGATGGCACAAAATTAAAACTAATTCTTGCAAGAATACTGAATGAATACTTGACTTTTGATGTATTGCTTTCCACATTATTGTCAGGAGAGTACAGGCCATGTATCAAACCAAGAGTCCTGCTGGGAGCCTCCTTTCATCCTCCTGTTGTTCTGTACTCTCTTCATTGGCCTCTACAGGCAAATATTGTATTTCACTTAAAATACAAGAGATTCCAATCAGAAGGAGTAAAAGACGTTGCTGCCATTTGTACTGACCATCATCGCTGTTGTCGTCCACCAGGATGATTTCTTTAAGCAAGTGAGCCGGAGTGTGATTGACAGCTGAGTGGACTGAGCGCAGGATCACCGACAGAGCCTCGTTGACAAAGATGAAGATGAGGGAGATCTGGGGGAGGTCTCTTGGGTAGCTGACCTTTCTGCATCTGCAAAGAGACACGCAAACACATCACACCATCTGTAAAATAAAACCTTTCCACGCCTTCCTGTGAAGCTTACATTCCGGGCTTCGCACGCTCCACTCATCCTCCATCATTGCTGTAAAAGACCAAGCTGCCTCGTGGAGCTGCTGACATCTTGCTCGATGAGGCTGAAAGGCAAATCACGTGCCACTTCCTGTTTAACCAACCAAATTGGCCTATTCACAGTGTGTCTGCAGCAGACAGGAGGCCTATTTTTACTGCTGTTTTGTTTAAAGAGCTCTAATGAAGAGGAAAGAGGCAGGGTGAGGCTCTGGCTCTAAGTTTAGTAAGAGTGGGAGAGGAAACGCCTTCCTTTACTTGTCTCCTTTTCTTGTCTTATTTCCTTTTATCAATAATCTTATTTCCAATGTGAAATGAAATGTTAATTACAAACAATTCTATAATAAACCCAGCCTTTTCATGAAAATGCATGAGGTCAGATGACACTTTTTTTTAGGCTTTTTGGCAGGAAACCCTTGAAAACAGATGCCAACATGGTTGTTAGTGGAAAAGTGCTTTTTGTTTTTCCCTTTTAAGATATTTGACAGGAAGCCATGAGGTTTTGGATACCTAACTTTTCACAAGAGAAAAGCTTTAATTATAAATATTACAAACATGATGTGTGTTAGAAATTTAATTCAGACACACTCATTTTTGGAGCGAAAGGGCATGCAGTTGCAGAAGAGGCACTGTGTTTGAAGAAGTTCCCCAAATGAAACAATGAACAGTCTGTCGGGAGAGTATTAACACTCCCCCACCGCCAAGGGCTCTGCTGAGAAAAACCCAGCAGATACATATCACACGGATATAGAGAATATATGTACATAATGTACAAGGCAAGAGATGCCACAGCAATTATGGTAATAGGAGGTAGGAACAGGAGGAGGCAGGGATGGTGCAAATCAGCGTAACCAGTAACAGCAGTGTAGCAGATAGAAGAGAGCAGCATGAATGATTACAAGTGTGAAGTTGTCACATTACAAGTATAGCTTTATTGACTAATCTGAATGTGACTGTGATTGTGACTGTTAAGACTGAGCTCATCAGCTGATGACTCTTCTTTTGGCATTTAGGCACTGCACTTACTTATCAGCCGATATGTATGCTGATACCAACATATCTGTGAAAAACGTTTGTGCCTATGTATCAGTCAACTCTTACTACTATATTCTCACTATATACATGTTGGGGAAAGCAGGCTTGGGCAAATAAATGTAACATTCCTGATAAGATAGTGAGCAGATTTACAATAAATCCCCAAAATGACTTTTTTTTCTCCTTTATACTACACATAGTTTGACTTTTTACATTTTTTCCATCTTTCTCTCGTTTCAACACCACCTCCGGCTCTGCAGTGTAAAGGGACCTTCAGCCAAACATAGTCGACTCCTCCGACTTCAGCGTACACGCTGCTGCTAAGCCTGGAGATATCACACCCCAACATGCTTCACACGCCACTTTGATCCTGGCAACATAAAAGACCCCCTGAGTGACAAAGCGCTGGATTCTGATGCCTCCACTCCAACACCCCAACTTGCGCGCAGCTGGTGGCAGCGATGGGCCGAGGGCTTTCTCATCATTACTGACACTCAAATAGAAGGGCTGTTACTCAATTAACCAGAAATGTGGGCCAGAGACAGACCCTTTAAAGGGCACTATATGGAGAAAAACCTGCACCATGCATGCAGATATACAATATACTGCACAGAGCTATCTGGAAGAGCACAAGTTAATGCACACGACAGGAATCTGCACGTTTATCGATGATACACAAGCACAATTCAAAGTGTACCTTTCATACCTGCTAATCCAAGGTGTGTCTGTCTGTGTGTGTCTGTGTGTTCGCTGTTGGACCTGTGTGCCCATGCATGCATGCCTGGTGGTCGATAGATAGATAGCCCGATAGTGCAGCTTCATCAAATATGAGAGTATGAGGCAGAGAGGGAGAGATTAAAAGGGACAGGTGAAACGCCCCACAAACAAACACTACATGTGTGCCGCAAAAAGTGACTGATGCCATGAAAAAGGTACCAATATTTTCATTTATGCAAATTAGACTGCAAGTTTTGAACTTTATATACATGGTGCACGCTCAACTCATTATCCAAATCGTTAATAGCAAAAGGAAAAATCTAGGGGTAGGTTAGGGTGGTGGAGGGAGCTGCCATGAGCGTACCAGCAGCGTAATAGTGAGAATTGTCAGGTTGGCTGCGTTGTAAACATGCATGAATATGATTGGACATGACTAGCCCACTGATTGTCTCATAGTGAACGATCCAGTTATTGTGAAGCATGAATGAAACAGCTGATGCCAATCAGCTAATGCAAGTGGGACTTGAGTGCTCTGCCTGAACTATGGCTATGCTCCATTTAAATAATTCATCAGCAACATGTCTCTCCATAAACAGTATCCCAGTTTGTCTGTATAACAAACAGATAATCACTGAGAACAGTTATCATTGGAACTACTTTCTTGGTAGAAGAAGTTAGTTTCAATGGTAATGCACCACCAACAGAATTCCATTAATCTCCATTGTACTGGGTGGAGGCAGACATCTCAGAGACAGGTTAGACACAACTATGGGTCCATGAGCAATGACTTTTATGTAACTGTTGGGAGCTGATCTTGAAAAAGAAATTATATTTATCCACTTGGCGTGTACTCACTTGCCGGGCCGGTGGTCTGGTATGGTCCGATCCAGAGAGATTCTGTCACTGAGGTAGGCGTTGTAGCCGTACTTCTCCCTCAGGTATTTAGCGTCGCTCTCCTCGGCTGGCGACAGTGTAGCAGGGAGGCCACCTTTACCCCGACCCCCGAAGCCCTCAATCAGACCCAGAGATTTGGACAGACCTGGGTGAGGCAAACAAGATTACAAGATTACATGTCAGGATCCTTTAGTCTGGCAGAGTCACTCTCCTCTGTGGTTTACTGTTGATAGCCTGCCTCCCCATCACACCTCCAACCTCTGAAGTGTTTGTTTTCCTATAAAATGATTAAAACTTAACTCCTTTTTTTGCAATTTATACCAAATTTTTGTGTAGTAGCAAAATGTATTATTGTTTAGCCTATACCTAGTTGCAGAGGTTGATTATTAAATATAGCTATGTGATAGTTGGTGGCATTTTCTGCACAGGTCAGTGAAGAGGATTTAGATGTTCCGCAGGCAGTGAAACATGCTTGTAAATGACTGAAATAATGTGATAATGTAAAATGAGCTCTATGGTTAATAGGCTGTAGGGGGTTAGACAATATAGGGAACTTCTTCAGAGTCTTACTCATTACTTTGTCACATTTTCATGTCAGGGCCGCAGGAGAAAGTCTGGGGAAAGTCAGACAGCAGTTTCTTTCTTTTGCAGATTCCTTGTGGGAAATCAGGTTTAAATGTTAAACTGCTCTTTACCGTTTAACTGCCTGTACACCACGTCCTCCAGCGAGCTGAGCCTCTTCAGCAGCACCTCATGGCTGATGCTGGGCCCCTGCGCCGTCCCGTTGCCCCGGGGCCTCTTCCCGTCAGCCGGAGCCTCCGGACCGGCGGCTTGGACGCTGCGTGTGTTGCACTTGGCCCAGAAAGTCATGAACCCAGCAACAGCAAGCACATTCAGCACCAGTAAAACCCTCCATCTTCTGAACACAAAAGCCATTAAAAAGTCGCCGGCGTCCGGGCTCCGAATGGTGCTGGGGGGGGGGACAGGAGGGGGGAGAGTCTCCAGAGATGCCGTATAGGTGTCACAGATTCAGGGCTCCCTCGGCTTGCGGTGTGCGGAAAGCTGCAGGGATAATTCAGCAACCGGGTTAAAATCGGCAAACCTTACAGAGAAACAGCAAAGACCGACAGAAAGGTTACTGCAATTGTTAGCCATGGCACTGATTCCTGGTCATCAATCTGCTCTCTTACCATTTGGCACCGGGGTTATTTTAGGTTGCATCCCCCTTATGAGGAAATTTGGGGCGCCTGGCCATCGGCATTCATCCGTGTCACCGCCACTTCAAGTGTTGTAAGATCATGCACGGAAGATGTTAGACAAAGACACCAGCATATGTTGGTCTTGAGGAACAGATACTCCTAAATAATTTAACAGTGAGGAGAAAGCAAGACTGTCCTTTTTTTTTTTTTCTCCTCCTGTGCGTCTAATAGAAGTCGGCAGTGATGGAGACAGCGCGCAGAAAAATCCTTTGCAGATACTCAACCTTTCTGCTCCCCGAAAGCCTCTTCGCACATCTCCCTCCACCCCGTCACACGCTGTAATATTCACAGTGAGATGCAACTGAGCAGACTGCACGGATTGTGAGCAGATAGCAGCGGTTCCAGAGATGCAGCATCCTCCGGTGAAGGTACAGATGATCCGTGAACGCAGCAGCAGCAGCAGCAAAGAAATGCGTCCTGAATCCCTCGCTTTTCGTCACATTTTCCCTCATTCAGTCAGCACATACCAACGTTTTCCTGTTATTCTGCACGCCCTTCTTGTTTGTTGTGGCTTGTTATTTCCTCTAATTCTCCTTATAACCCACACAACGCTTAATAAGGGCGCAGGGAAAAACGTGGAGTGGATCCGGCGACTTCACAGCAGGTCAGGGGGTGGTGGGTGGGGTGTCTGTTCACTGCCACCCAATTATCTGCAATTAGGAGAATATTCAAATATTTCACTGTGGTTCCCGCAGTGGGGCTCTCGGGTCCACTAGGATGTGCCTAAGAGACTAAAATGTGTTTTATAGTTAATTCCAGTGTTATTTGACTCAGCATAGAGGGAAAGTACAGTTTAATCATGTAGACTACTCTGTACAGAAATGTCATTACCTTCACAAAGCTAATAAAGACACTAACCTAATTCTACAGTATATAAGATTGTCTCAGGTTGTGTTCCTCCTCATAGGGAGAAATCTCATCAGATTAAGGCACTTGCAGGAAAAGTTTGAGAACATCTGACAGGATTATCTGGTGGAATTAATGTATTATTTCACTTTTATGTAAGTGAGTATTCTCAATAAGTCATATAAGTATTATATATATATGTATTAACAGCGAAATGTACTTAGGTAGGCATGGTAAAGAAGTGAAATGTTAAATTATTGATGCATAAAGGTGTAAGAAGCGTTTTAATATCATAACTGCAGGTGGTGCTCAATTAATACACTATAAGGTTTCAGCTATAGCAAGGCTTCACATTTTATGAACTCATTATATATTTCGGATTAATAAAAAGTTCATAATTCCCCTCTTAAGTTGCAAACAATGCTCAGTGTGCCTTAAATTTGGACTTTTGTACATTACTTAAGTACATGAGTTTTGGAGTTTCCGCTGCCTTCTTATATCCTATTAAATAAAACTGTGACCCAGTTAAAGTGAAAAACTCAGTTACATCTGAAGACCTTCAAAGAACAGATCAGTATTTTGCAGCATGTCATCACCATAAAGCAACATGCCCCTAAATAGTAGTTTTATCATTAAAGCAGTGTATGTAAAAGAACTCAATGATCCTATAATCCATTTTTTTTTTTTTTACATTGATGGCATTAGCGACTGCAGTTATCTTTGTGTGTGTGTGTGTGTGTGTGTGTGTGTGTGTGTGTGTGTGTGTGTGTGTGTGTGTGTTAGGCAGATATTCAGTATAGCTTTAAAGTTCTTCTCAGTAATGTTTTCCTGTCTAAAGTTAAGGATACTTAAGTTTCAGCTGACATTGAAACGTTATAAGGTCTGAGGTCACAAACTGGTCACTTGGCTTGCTTTCCATTAGTTATACATTTTGTAATTCTTTCACCAGTGAGTACTGTTATCTTCACCATTGGGACTAAATACAACGTTGTGGTAAACTGACGCTGGTGCTGGTGTTTTTGATCGATTGGTATTTCCATTTAGTAATCAAAGGATCTTTAGAATTTGCTGCAGAAGTCTTGTACGAAGACAGTTTTATTATCTGGTGTCAAAGGTTGAAGGAAAAAGTATTTACCTGTTTGGGTTTTGGTCTGTTTAATGTGGCCTACTCCAACATGGTGGACCAAGAATAGACCTCTGTGGTACACCATAAAAAGTACAGAGGCTAGATTTGTAGAGAGAGTCACAAGCCAGTAGTATAGGTACACTGTTTAACTGATGTGGTAAAACACTTCACAGTACTTCAAATACGGCGTTCTGACAAATTTAAATCCCATTTGATGGATTGTGACCTTTGACCTGTGTGGAATGGTGAAATACGCAAACAAGCATTTCCCAATATTAGGCAGATTTTGAATCATGCGTGGGCTATAAGTTGTTGTGACTGTTCGGACATCTTCAGGGAATTCAATTTAAACTCATTCATGAATATAGCAAGGTCAGATAAAATATGCTGATTTACTGATTTTAAAATAAGTTTAATTTGCTGTGCTAATTTGTTCTTTCGTCTTCCTCCTTCATCCATTATTGTCACATAAAGATTTGAATTTATTGTTGAATATTAGTGCCCATTTAAAACTGTAAATGTTGAGGAAACATTGATGGATCTGTGTATATAATAGTGTTTCTCTTAAAAATAGATTCTAATGATGCAAGATTTTGTCCACATAATGTCCAAAGCATTTATATTATTCACAATTTGCATTTTACATAAAGATAATATGATTTCCCCTAAGAGAAAATTTTAAAAAGTGCACTATTAAAATAATATATCATTTCTGTAATTAAGGCGTATATATAAGTAATTGTGTTGCTAACACTGCAGGCCTTCATATTAGCGCATTCTGCCCAATTACTTCTGAACTGCAGGTAAATCCTCAAATAAAGTGGCCATGATTTTGTTTGTAATATCTGTATCGTAGATAAATGTTTAAATATATATAACATGTTTTTAGAGATCCTGCCATGTGCTACTGACGTCTTTTACGGACCCCAAGAGGGGTCTGGTATCAGTGATCATCCCTGGAGAAGGTCCGGTAGAGTACGAGGTCTGTTCCGAGGTCTGTTCAAAGTAATATTAGGGCTGTCCTCTTCTATGTTCAAGGAAATGGTCTATATTGTCTCCTCAACATAGATATTAAGCAATCAGTTGTGGATTAACTCGCTGAAGAAACAAAAAGAAAACATTTGGGAGCGTAATCAATGAAAACATCTGTCTCTGCAATCTCTTGTCGGCCGCATAAAGAAATTGGGCAGTTGCCATATTATGTCATAAGGGTCAAAGGGCAAGATCCAACTAATTGGATTAATATTTGTCAGAAAGTGGTGTTTATCAACTACTTACTTCATTTCAGAGCATTGAAATGTGTGAGTTTGTGCAGAAATGGGTCACCCAGATAGCTGGGATGAATCAAGGAGCTCGGTAACTCTGCAGCTTACTGAGAGACATGGCAACTCTGATCTGCAGGCAACCCATGAGGAAAGACACAGTCTCAGAGAGTGTGTGTGTGTGAGAGAGAGAGAGAGAGAGAGAGAGAGAGGGGGGAGACTGAGGGGGGAGACGAGAGGTATAGTGAGATCAAAAACCAGTGCTAGATTGTGTGAGACGAATCAAGAAACAGAAAGAAACATCAAGGGAGAAGGAGAGACAGAGCATCAGTGAGATGCACACAAGGAGGCAGAGATAGAGAGAGAAAAAGGGAAAAGAGAGTTTTAGAAAAGGCGAGAGGAGAGTGCAGACACTGGGGAGGAATCAAAATTCAAAGGGAGAAAAATTCCTAAAGCAAGTGAGAGACACGTTGAGTTGCAGGAGAAAACAAAAGGGAGAAATGTAAGAGGGAGAGATTGCATGACAGCAGCACAGACGACAACCGCATAGAAAAGAAGTGTAAGAGTAGATTTGAACTGATATTTGTTGAAGGGGTGAACGTGATAGTCTCAAGTACTCTTGTCAACCCCTCACGTTTCTAGGAGGAGCCAGTCAAGTAGCGGATAGTTCATGTGTGAAGTAGGCAAGTTGAACTACATTCAACCCCTGGAAAAAGTAACAACCCTAAGGCTGGCTGCGCTCTGGGGACGCAATCAATTTGATGTCTGTACGTGTCTGTCAGTGTTTTTGTTTGCACATTATACGATACAGAGGTTAAAAAAAGAGAGATAAAAATGGACAGGTGATAGTTCAACAAAAAAAATGAACTTCAGTATTTAAAAACATATCTACATATAAAATAAATGTATCACAAACATGCAAACATTAGAGCTAGAAACAGCGTCACCATTACATTGTTTGAGTAGGCCTGTGTATTAGCAAGAATCTAGCAATACAACACATATATGGTGCTATATTGAGATGCTGTAAGTGATGCAATATTTCTTACACCCCTACCAATGAGCACTCACAAACTGAACTGTACTGTAAAATCTCCCACTCAGTATGTCTGTATAAACTAAGCAATCTGTTTGTGTTTATATTTAGAAAAATAAAAATAATGAAATCCAGTATTCCTCCGGGTATAGCACACATCAAAGCATGTATTATAAGTAGTTTAACATGTAACTAAAACATGCATTTTAATGTGTCATACATTACTGAGCTCTATATTTGTATATTTAAAACATCTTACTTTTTTAGTTCAGTCGCTATTTTCAGATTTTATTTTGTTTATTATTGCATTTTGTCATTTAACTACATCTCTGTATATTCCTATCTCCTTTGTTTTATCTTGCCCACATGTCAAAGTGTCCTTGAGCAAAACACTGAGCCCTAAATTGCTCAATACATGCTTTATTCCTGTATTCTTTGGATAAAAGTGTCTGGCAAATCTAAAACAAGGTACACAGTGAATATACAAAATATTAATGACAGTGTGTTTTCATCATCACCTGCCGACCTTTACTAAATCTATACCAGCTACAAAGAGGAGGAGATAAGCTAGAGTAGAAGCTTTGTAACAATAAATATTTGTATTGTGGGTTGTATAATGTCACGGAGAGCTCCAGTGTGATATTTTGTACATGCAGTATTTTGAATAAAAGTGCACTGGGAGCAATATGAGTCCATACAGAATGTTTGATGTTTGGATGGATGGAAGACGAGCTCAGGCTTTTTTTCTTGTTTTCTACTGTTCCTGTTGGACAATATTCGTTGTAACTTAAAGTCACAATCTTAGCTGCTTAAAGCCCCCAAAGGTTCCTTTTTAAGAAATGCGATGTTGTGCATATCCTCTGATGACAGATGAGGTGGATAAAATTGTTTACTGACCTCTGAAAGATTGCATATTGCTGCAAAAAACAAAATGCATTTTATAAATAGCTCAAAATAATTGTGTATCTGTTGCATCTTAGGCAACAAGGTGAATGTCTGTTTGTTTATTCCTACAGTCTGAAATGCAAAACATGGTACATCATTCTAACCTTGAGCCACCTACATATACAGGACCACTTGCAATAAAATATTAAATTAACATTTTACTTGGTCAGCAGCTTAGCTCTGGACCTTCATCAAGGACATCAAATGTAAACGCAGAACTCGCAGTAGACCAAATGCAAGAATAGTTTCCTCAACAGGAAAACAGCAGGATTATGCAATCAAAGACACCAAAGAAATAAAAGCAACGCCTTTATACACCCTCACAGGGTTTACACTTACTTTGCTGACGGTGGTCCTTTGATCAAAACCCTCACTTCCTGTCACATTAATTCACATTCCCACCCCTTTTTTTTGCACCTCAATATTCCTATGCAATGGGACTACTGATTCCGGCTAGATGCAGACCTGATACTATCTTTTCAGAAGCCTGGATTCAAGTGTGGAAACCCTTTCACAATCATTAGACCTCGTCTCAGAACTGTACGCGTATTTCCTCCCTGTTCACCCTGAAGAAAGGACAACTCACACCTTCATCACTGTTCTTGTTATAGTGAGTTTGGTCGTTTTGGCTGATTAGAACAGAGCTCTAATCAACGAGAATAACTGAAGACACCCGTGTGGGTGTGCAGGGCCTTTGATAGTGAAACAGGAAGTTCCATTAAGTTCCACTATGGGGCAGGGAAGAACAGGGAGAGTGGAGAACAAAGTCAGCAGGATAATTATAAGTGGGAGGGTGAGGTTGGGTTGGCAGTGACGGGGGGGTTTCATGAGATTATCCTATAAATAGTGTGGCAAGTTTCTTTAGTCATCAACAGCAGTATGTAACTCTGGCACACGAGTGATAAAACTGTTCTAAAAATTAGCCTTGGGCTTATACCTCTGCACAAGTTAATACCATTCTCCACGAGACTTTATGAGTTGCTGAGCAGGATTTGAGTATGATGAAGTTAATCACTGCACTGTAGGGAGAAAAAAAAAAAAACATGTGATCCAAACCTCCCGCTCCGCCTTTAACCAAAGGCTTGTTTCATTTATGCAGTGGTGCATTTATCGGTCCCACAGGAGTCTATTGTGATCTCAGCTGGCTTTGGCAGATGCAAAGACAAATTGACCTTCACGTTGGATTGAGTGGAGGGTGTTTCTTTTTTCCAAGGGATCAGAGTGGGTATGCAGCACATGGCGGTGGGGTGTCATGCCTCTGCTAAGCTCAGTCAGCCAAGGAGTGAGCCACGGGGTACTTTAGGTCAGTCACTACCAAGCTTTCAGCCCAACTACATGTCCCCGTCTGAAATAGAGCCAGTGGCTTTAAGGTCACCGTGTTGGAAGGATGACACTGTAACCCTTCCCTCGCAGCTCACTGTACAGTTCTCTATAAAATGACCTTTTATGCTCTTAAACAAGGGAAAAGATTTGATCCAGACTTATCTTTCTGCCATGGTGGCATATTTATGTTACTATGGTAATCAGAAACAGATTTTTGAAATTTTTTTTCATTTAGGCAAAGGTAGTAAGATTTGTTCAATTTTAGATAAGGATAAGGAGAAAACTTTGCACAGTGAAACAGTGTTTGGTGCGACTGATTTAACTCAAAGACCAGGATGTAGGATTCAGCAGCATCTAGAGATGAAGTTACAGATTTTCAATGTAATTTAAATATTTGTAAAGTGCCAAATCATAACAGAAGTCTAGACTGTACTTCTTATAAAGTTATTTACAGAGACTTCACAATACCCACCATGAGCAAGCACTTAGAGACAGTGGCAAGGAAAAACTTTCTTTTAAGAGGTAGAAACGTTGGGTTGGAGTTAGATTGCAACCAACTAAATACCGCTCAGCACATAGGAGAAACTGTGGTGGCAGCAAAAAGCACAAAAAGCTGAGAGCCAGTGTTCAGTTTGTCCCTTCTGTACTACTATAGAAACAGTTTTCCAACATGACAGCCTCCTATTAAGAGGACCCGCTCCCTGTGTATAAAGACGGCTCATTCTAAGGCAACAATTCTTTTTTTCTGGTTTTTCTTTCATTATACGATAATGAATAATTATACCAATGAATATTTATATATAATTACATTTCTGCCAATAGATCTAAATATTACACAATGGACCTTTAACCCTGTAAGACCCAAATATAGAAAAACCTTTAAAAAAAAATTATTTTACCTTTCAGATGTAAAAAAAAATGTTTATGTAAGTTTATAGAGAAATGTTGTAATATTGCAACATTGGGCTTAATTGGGAGCAGAATTTCTGTATTTGTACTCACGTTGTCTGAACAACAATTCAGAACAACTAAGGGTTCATTTGCAGGGTTGATTGCTTACTTAGCCCCATAAAGGTATATAACATTAATAATAATCACACATTAGTCATAGTCATTTATTAAAAAAAACTATTAAACAGGATAAAACTCTAGCTTTTTCTAGCAACTTCTTCATTCCTTTTTTTCTTTTAATGACTGACTTCCATTGTTAGTGAAAGTCCCAAAAACTGTTCTTGTCCTCTGAAAAGCAAAGGCGAACATCACACTTGCTGCATTGCGTGTTGGTGTATCCTTTATTGCAGTGTCTGCAGCGTCCCTCCCTGTCTTCACTGGGAAATGTGCAACTAGGTCCTTGCGTACATCCAATGGGAGGTGTGCACATCTCTTGGATGGTCTCTTCTGAGCATTCAGAGGGCTTTCTGATGTCACTGTCTGTGATGCTGGGCTCCCTTTGCCTGAAGATGGTCTTCCTCTCTTTGGAGTTCGAAGTGTTGTGTTTACCAGGATGAGAGAGGATGCTAGCTGTGCCTGAAACTGTCTCTTGTTCCTTGTCTCTTTGCTAAACATCTTGAGAGCTTTGCAGTCCCGCTTGTAGAGGAGCCAGGCATTGACCACAGCGAGGATGATGGTGTGCCAGAAGATGTACATGTACCAGCGACGGGATTTGATGGGGAACTTATATTTGGCTGTAAATGAGTCCAACAAATCCATACCTCCCATGTACTTGTTGTAGGCACCAACAATGTAAGGCCTCTCAACTTCAATGTAGGTTCTGGTGGCTGGCACAGGTTCAGGTCCAGCGAAGGATGTGTGACGGCCCTGTTGTCATACCATTTGACAGCACAGATGTTGTGACTCCCCTCCACTCTGACGTCATAGCTTCATCTCCCCTTTTTCTTCAAGCTCTTCACGTCTTCAAGGTTACAGTTGGGTAGGCGCACCTGCCTGGCTGTTCCCACGTAATGAATTCCCCGATCAAGGAGTTTCACTAATAACGGAACACAGGTGAAGTAGTTGTCTGCATACATTTTGTAGTTCTGACCTTCTGGATGTGTGGAAGCAAGCCTTATAACAACATCACCTGACAATCCAAGTTCAGATTTGGCTCGTATTCCGTTGACATTGCCTTGGTAGACGTCACACATCATGCCAGAGATTCCGGTTCTCACCCACACTTTGAAGCCAGCCATTTATTCAAACAATACTGCCTTGACATAACAATACTGCGTTTTGTGCTATCTAATTATCATACTAAAAGGAAAACATGCATACCCCCACTTATATCCACACCCCACATTCAGGAACATTTTCACCTTTCCCAGAACTGAATTGTCTGTTGATATCCTCTTTGTGGACAAAGTCATGGAATTTTAGGTCAGTCTGGTCAAATTAACTACATTTTTTAGAGATAAAACTTTTAAATCAGTCAAATTTGACCAGAACACAACACAAGGGTAGAATGTATACTGTCCATGTATAAAGAAAATACTCTGTTTCAGGCAGTGGTGTAGTGGAGGGAATGCAACCTGTTTGGGCCCACTGCAACAAGACTGCTATTTTGACTACCACACTCACCCAGTGTTGTAGAATTGCAACAAATATATAACAAGCTCTAAATGAAATTTGATGAATCTATTCCACAATAACTACATATGTACATGCTCTGGACATTGTAATAACAACCCCAAAGACATTTTACTTACTTGAATCTGATGAATCTAGTCCAATGAAACACAGAGATGTTGTTCGAAGGAAACCTTGAGAGGTTGAGTGAGTTTATGGCCATAAGGCGGGACTTATAAACAAATGTACCATCCAATAGCATTGTGAGACTGGACAATAGGCCCCAATGACTATGTAAATGTGGTAAAACATAAGATCAAATATAACAGATTGTTTTTTAGGATGGCTAAAGGTAACGTTCTAATTTTACAACAAGGGGTGTTACAGGGTTAAGGCATTTTGTGCAACCAACCCCTGATGCTAATGAAAAGGGCTTGTGAGTAACTCTATTGCTTGCCACCCTGAATGGCCAACAGAACTCAGCTTCCAATGTGTGAAACCAGGAGAGGAGTGATTCTCACAGTTTCGTCTTTAATGCCCAGCGACAGTGCCACAGCAGGTGGGACTCTTCACAGAGCCAATCAGTCAGATCTGTTTACAGATGATGATTCATGTGAGATGACGAACTGAGATACAACTTTCCCCAACACGTTAGACAAGACATTAAACCACAAAAATGCCAAGAAACGCCTTTAATGTGTTCCCACGCTACAGACACACACAGACTGCAACAGCAGCATGTCTCCTCCCTGTCCTCATCCTGTCATCCTTTCCGTCACTCTTCAGCCTCTCCCATTCATGTTCTGCCAGGGTCCTGTGCTCCACTCAGCTCCCACACTCCCCTAGGCAGAATGCAAAATCCAACTACGCAAACTGTCAAATCCATCTGATGTCAAAACAGTTATACATCCACCCACTGTGATTATGAGTCTGTATAATTAACACACAACCTTTTCACCCCTTTTTCCTATTTGTGATGCCACGTCAGGGACGGCGATGTGCAGATTTTATCTACGGCAGCATGGTTTTAGACCCATGTGGGGTAATGGCTTGTTGAGTTTCTTGGCTCTAATTTAAGCTGTCCTACTTCCCATCATGCCTCAAGGGCTTTAGAGGAATCAGAGCCAGCGATGTACTTCCTCGACATTGCTTTTGTAACTTTGCTTACAGCCAGTGTCACTCTCACAGGGTGACGTTGAGGTTGACAAAGATACCCCAAGTATTACTCTGTAAGAAAAATAATAATAGTCACAATAGATGGTGGTCATTAATGACATTAATAATACGGATTATACAAACTCAAAGACGGGTACATGAACAGTACGTTTTGCGCTCAAAAGAACATTTATTACAGATGTACTATTACATGAGCCAACTGGGCCTTTAGGAATCCAGATGTGTGACCCTTTTGATGTACATAAAGACACAGCATTCAGCACTATGGATAGAAGGTTATGTAGGACTATTTGGCAAAATACAGAATTGTCTTTTGGTAATGTGATAAAAGACATCATGAACAGTATGGAGAGAACCACAGCTTTCCTCAAGTTCAAAAGCATCATTCTGGTGTTGCTGATGTCTATCAACTCAACCTACTTTGAAAATACTGGCTGGTTCAGATTTAACATCTTATGAAAAAATAGACTGAATTTCATTGGCAATCGCTATTAAAAACTTAAATTCCAGTTTCTTTTCTGCCTGAAGCTATCCCACTGGGTTTCTTAATATTGCCGTTTGAAGCTTAGTAATAGCAGTAAAGATCTATTGAGATTTGTCCTACCCACTTCTAGGGTGCTGTCTGTTTCAGTTTGTCAACAGAAAAGGGCTGATTTCACAGCTTTCTCTCTACCCCGACCACGTACGATAAAGTGTAGATCGAAACCCATTGTACTTAAACTAGACTGACACAAGCTAATCCAGTTTGACAATATGATTTCTGGTCTTACGTGGTCTAGAAGGAGAAAAAGCAGTGAGCATGGCCTTTTTTTTTTTTTTTTGCTCTTACATACAAAACAATACAAAAATATAAACAAGCTTTTACAAATCTGGAACTCCATTTTACATTTCTGAAGTCTAAATATGATATGCGATATAAAAAGTAGTTGGATTGTGGAAAATATCGTGTCTAAGTGCCATTTTGTCTGTTTTCAGAATTCATGTTTCTTAAATTTAGAATTGGGTTTTAAACAACTTTAAGGCATTTAATATGTCGTCTCGCACCCATTTCACAACCCAAAGTGGTGTAACAACAGAACAGTGGCTGAGAAATATTACAAACACCCCTTGACTCTCCTCTTATCGGAATCGGAAGCTGCAAATCAGAGGACAACTTCAGTGTCTAAGTAGCGTTAAAGTAGCTTTCCATAGAACTCCAATAACTCTTCGGTAACACTTAGCAGTACATTAACAGAAAGGACCACACAGTGAAAGAGCTGATAAATGTATCAGGCTGTGCGGTTAGACCTACTCATTCAGGGCGCTCTCCCTCAGCCTGTGGAAGCAGAGTTCAGACCAGGCTTTAGTCTTCTCTCCTGTCACCTAAACCTTCTTCTTCCCCTCGGTTGCCTGATAGTTCAGCTGTCAAATCTCCTCAGTCTCCTCTGTCTGATTTCCTCAGCTCTTGCCTCCTCAGAATGGTGGAACCCATAAGGGGGAGGAGCTCCTCTCTGGTTGATTTGTCCTACAACAGGAAATATTATTAGATGTATACGTGTTGTGATTTTAGCTGACTCTTAAGTAGTAGTAGCTTTTAATTGCTCCCCTTACCTCTGTCATTCAGACTGTTTCGAATGGCCGCCTCTATCTGCTCCTCCTCCGTCAGTCCACCTGTATAAGGTGCTGTATTATTTGTTGTGTAATCTGGTGCATACTGATGGTTTCCTGAGTTTCCTCCACGAGTGCCACTGTACCCTGCAGACACACACACACACAAACACATGCATTGTACAAGTAATTCAATTTAAGAAAAGACACGTTATCCCATGAAAAGACCAAGTTAGTCAGTCTGTTAATACTTTCTGACTTCCCTATCCTGTCTGTGGCACTCCCGAGTCCCAAATATATAGTTTAATTATAAATAAAGGTTCATTAATTTCCTAAAGCAGCTGGGCACTGTAGTTTTTAGCAAACGGGCTGAAATTGGAGTAAACAGTGCATCTGTTTGCGGCTATTTTCGGCCATGAATTAATCCACATTTGGTGCTCTGGTGAATATTTCCGGCAGCAGGACAGTGTAAGTGGGACTCAAAGTAAAATACAGTGTGTGTTCATGGTAATAAAAGGAACCCAGTGTGACAGTGTGGCTCATTGATGTGTTTGATGTTTTTGGACAACAATGGACCAACGTGGCACAGAAGAATCAGCCATATCAGGCTTTGGATGCAAAGACCAAACCTTTTAACAGGATCAGTTCAATGTAGACATTTTATGGGATCTGGTGACAGTAAGAACAATACAGCATAGTATCAGCCTTGAAGGGGATCCTAAAGGAATGAGCTGGGGCTTCATAATGTTTACGTATGTCAGATTTTTCTCTAGAAATCCCCGTCTTTAGGTTCACAGACAATACATTTCTCAGCCATCACCGAACCGAACCGAGTGATCAAACTTGTATCAAATTCTATAAAAGCCTAAACAATAACTTTCCACGAATGCTGTGGTACCTGAAGAGCCTGAAGAGCCGTAGTACGCACTGGGCCCGGAGTTATATCCGTTCGATGTCACAAATCCTGATGAAAATATATACAAACAGACATTCTCAGTACAAACAGAGTGTTGTTGATGTGCATTAGGTTTGTATATGGATTAATACTGAGACACATTGTCTCTAGAATTGTCTCATTTAAACAAACAGATATGCAGATTAAGTCACTTAGCAAACCTCCATTGTGACTGAAAATAAGAGCTGTCATGAGGCAAGGAAGCCTGTAGCTTTAGACTGTATGAAAAATCATACAGGGGGCTTTTCACAGGTTACAAGGGTCTAAGGTAATAGAAACACAGTCAACACATACACAAGAATAACCAACTCTTTAAAAAAGCAACACACACACACACACACACACACACACACACACACACACACACACACACACACACACACACACACACACACACACACACACACACACACACACACACACACACACCTGCACATTTGTTCATGATTGCCTTCAGTGGTCCAGCAGTGTAGAGCAGACCCACCAGGATACCAGCCAGGTGACCAATGAAAGAGGTCCTAAGGAAGCAGAGAACAGATTAACTCCTAACTAATGAAACACTGCCATCTGGTGGAAGCTTGAATTCATAGCTTCAGACATCGTATAGTAACAGGGCACTTGTCACTAATTGTGTGCTAAGTCACTCAGTGGAGGGGTAGTGAGAAGTTCAGAGACGGGCCCAGAGCTGTATCACATATGGACAAGAGGGGAGCAGATATGTGTAGGGTCATGGAGGATGTGTTGACTGTATGAGGTGGCCAGAGACGTTGATGGGAGATCCATCATCTTGGAACATAAAACATTATGTAGGTTCCTCATATTCTGGATATTTAGTTAGCTACCAAATACTGTAAAAGCAATAGCACTCTATCAAGCAGTTGTACAATGCTAACACGATGTTGCAACTAGTTCAGCTCAGGAAGCTTCTGCCTGGCACTTTTCTATCTTTACTGTCTGTTCAATGAGTGTACCTATATACTTCAGTACTTCTATTAATGTAGTCTATATAATGTGCCATTTCCTATAGAAAGCTGAATACACTTTCATGGTGTTTTTCACATTCAGCTGCAGAGCCAACCAAGAATATTCACACTGGTATCTCTACAGTATGTCTGGCTACTGGATCTGAATCCTGGTGCATTTGTTATGCAGATTCCTGCTTGGTAACTCACCCAGGTGACATTATGTGGATCAGCACAAGCTCGGCCCAACTAGCATAGCGGTTAGAAACAGGGAAACCCATCACGTAGGTCACACCTCCAGGGTGGTAGTGGTTACTGAGCACCTTCAGCGCAAACAGGACCCCTAGAAACACAGTCATATTAACAAAGACAGGGGGGTTAGGAAATGTCGCCATGGTGAAATTAAATTATTAAAAAAATAGACAAAAAAATGTCATGTGGTGAACGGAGATACAATATATGGGTTGTTATACTGCAATGTAATATCACTTCTCTGAACCTTCAAAGAAGAAAAAGCAATAAAAAAAAGGCTGCTTAGAGAAAACAGAACAAGAAGACAAAGTCATTAATAAAAGAAAAAGAACCAAGACATCCCCTAAACCTACATACTCATCAATACATATGTTCTTCTGTGCATTTATTTGGCTGTTCATCTTTTGGTAGTTTTATAGATTAGTACCTGAGAAGCCAACAGCACAGGTCATGCTGTAGGACTGGTCCTGGGTAAGCTCTGTTAACAACGCCTCCAGCACCAGATAGACCAATCCAGTGAGCAGAGAGAAGACCGACAGCAGGTACACGAACCAGGGTCCGCCCAGCCGTTGCTCCAGCTTGATACCTTTCCAGAGGAAGGACGCCATGTTGAAGTAGAGGTGCCAATCATCTGCATGGTGCAGTGGGGACAGCAGAAGGCGGCGCCAGTCTTTAAACCAGTATGCCTGCTGGACACTCACACAGGCCTAAGGATTGGATCGATATTAGTATTCATATTAGTACTAATAATATCAGTCTAATAGAGTGTATAGTGTCATTCCTGCAAGATGGTCAGTAAGAAAACTATTTATTATTATTATTTTGACTATATGAATGAAAGAAAAGCAGCAAATTGTCACATTAGGTAAGTTTTTGCTTCATGAATGACTTTAACAATTAAGTGATTATCAAAATAATGGATTTTCTCTCAACTCAGTATGTACTACTAACTATTCCTATTGTTCCATTGTGTATATGTTTTTAAAATTGCCTCAATAATGAACTCTGTCTCTACTATAAGTGCTGTATTAGTGCATTACCTGCATCAGTGGAGCTGCAGGAAACAGGTAAAGGTACACGTTGAGTCCCAGGACAGCCAGGGTGACTGGGGGGATGTTGTCCAGACCAACCTGGAACAACTGGGAGGCCAGGAGCAGCAAGCCCAGGTGGGATCCCCTCTGTCTGCGGTGCATACTGAAAACAGCCTGGAAAGAGACAACCGTGAGTTTAAGAGACGGAGCTGTTGTGCCCTCTGATCACCGGGAGGAGCCTCGCTTTTTCACAACAGAGATTTCTGGGTGCTCCAAGGTTAAAGGTGCAAACTGAAGGTGACTAAGGTGCTGCTGTTGCTCCACGACTCTGGAACAGCCACCCACAAAGTCAGAATCAAATCAGGATAACTGTTCCAAAAAAAGAGCTGTACAAATAAATTAAAATAAATGCTGCTTGGTTGCTAAAGTAGATGGAACAAAAACCAAGAGTTGGATTCATTAGATGGTCTGTTAGTCTGAAGATCCACTAAACAAATGTCACCTTTTTAAAGCTGATCCATTTACAGACCAACAGATAATTCACACAGATTAGCTTTATTTAAAAGTGGGGTGTGCCCATAAATATCCAATAAAACCATTAAACCACTAGCAAATAGAAAATCTGTGTGCTGGCCCTGTTGTATGTGATAATCCAGGCTGGAAGCTCTGTACTGTACAGGCTCTATAACACCAATCTGTCTCTGTGCTGTTCAGGTAAAGGCACATATTATCAGCACTGGTCTGTAAAAGATGTAACTTACACTGCAGCTGCACAGACACTGACTACACCCCGACGTTATGACTTTATCGGGTCTTTATGGGACCCAAAGAGGGGGAAGACACAAACATTAGAGAGGGCTCTTTCAGAAACCGCATCCTTGGTGATAAAAGATAAAAACTCACCGTCGGTTCAGTCGGTTGATGGAAAGCTTCCTCCCTCTGTGACACTGCGGCTAACGCTAACGTTAACAATAGTTTTTTTTTTAACCCCCGTTATTACACCGAGTCTGCCTCAAGTTAATGGACGCTCACAGAGGAGGTTAAATGTACTTAAATACAGCTTAATCACGCGTCAGCGCGGTGTATGTCTCGGTATTTCATCATTTCTAGCAGTTACTAGAAACTGCTCGCTAGCAACAGTTGGAGGCGTTGCGTCAGCGGTCACGTGACAATAACAAACCTACGTATGCAGCGCATGCGCGTTGTGCCTCTTCTCATTTGTCGTTTTTTTTTTTTTTTTCAATCATTCTGTATCCGATCGATCCGATTGTAGTTTATCTTATATTATAAACCCTGCACACACACACACACACACACACACACACATATAAATTAAAGGGGGGGAAGTCACGTGGTAAAAAGTAGTCTTTGGTATCAATTAACGAACACGTGCGCCAAGAGTGGCTCAGAGTTTCCTGATCAATAATTCAGACGCATATAACTCTGGATCATATTTCTCCCTTCAGACACCGACTCCAGCGGGTTAGCTCTCCCGATGAAAGAGCACTTTGTACGGTCATGTTCTCCGTCGACTCTCCCGCCTCCAACGATCACGAGCCGGAGCCGGTGGAGAGGCTGTTGCTATAGTAACAGCGGTAGGCGAGGATGTGTCGTCAAGGTAGCGAGCGTCAAATAGGTTATTACCGGAAAACGGGTGCGTTTCTCTTCAAAATAAAAGCGCATGGTTGCGTCACATGGGCAATAAAGATACGTGAATTGTTGAAAACGAATAAATAGTTTACGAAAATAATTTGCATCGTCACACGTAGCCACAACTAAATGCCCGAAAGTCATAGTTATGTTTTTTATCTTTTAGGCAATGGGCATTAATTGCACTTAAAGCTAAATAACTGAGTCAAATCCGCAAAAAAAATATAAAGTATTGTTAAAAAAAAAAAACATTGTAGACTACATTAGAGTTTAAGTTGTTAAACATTTGAAAACCTCAGAAATCCACCCAAAACAAACAACTGAACTAACTAAAGGCACGAACAAAATAATCAACGTGAACATGTAAGAAAGGCACGTTTTCTTTTTAATGTCAAGTGAATTTAAAAGTAAAAAGTAGAGAGATATTACAATGTTTGTTTGTTTTTTATGAATGGGGCACACACCTGATTCGCCTTCATGTGATCTCCAAGTCGACGTGACTCTTATTTTGAAAGTGAGAGACGGCAGTGCAGTTTGTGGCGTGATGCGCAGCTTGACGCCAGCAGCAGTGAGTCAGGAGCGGGAGAGTAGAGAGAGAGAAAGAGAAGGGGGGGGAGCTCGGGCAGGTAAAGGTGTGCGTTTGTTTGTCTGTCTATGAATGTGGGGGAGACAGGAAGGGGTGACGGCGTGAAGAAGAGACGGAGAGGGGTGAGAGGAGGACAAAGGACCCGACCGAGAGGAGGAAGAGCTGGAAAGAAAGAAGGAAAAAGAGGAGAGGGAAGGATGTCGGAGAGGATAGCTTCGTGTGGGAGCTTGTATGACAGCAGCACCAACCTGCTGCTACAGTACTGCAACAACGGTGAGCTGCCTCTTCTCCCCCTCCTCACATAGACACACACACACACACACTCTGTAATTCACTGTGGTTTTAAAATATGCAAATATTTACATCAACACGTGTGTAAGTTAGACTCTTAATTTGGTGGAAAAACAGCTGCTCATCCACCGAAAATGTCCTGTGACTGCGCACATTAGTCTGCGTTATGTATGAATGTCTGTACATTCACTGTTTCATCAGCTTCCTTCATTTTATGGATATTTTCTGACTTATTTTCACGGCCTTTAGGCTTTTTCCCCCCTTAAAATATACAAAATATTAGCATAGTGCAGCCATTTTATTTTGGCATTTAAAACCTATATGAATAGTGAAATGTGTTTGAATGGGACTTCATATATATATATATATATATATATATATATATATATATATATAAGTGGATTTTATATTCTATGGTGGATTTATTTAATATTTTATGGTGCAGAGGAAGAAAATACTTCAATTTTTCAGTTATTTTTCTAATAATACTGTTTTCTTTTCTGGTTTGTAGTTCCTGTTGCCATCACATTGATGTTTTTTTTGTAGAAATCTGCCTCACATCTACCTTTTCATTAAGCCATCAATGTGTTTAAGTTCCTCTCAGTCCACAGCTACAGGACGTTGTCTGTATAACGTTGGTTGTCAACACTGCCTCCTTTTAACTTTTGAACATGATCCATTTTGTTTGATTTGAATGCACAGTGATCTCTGATGGCAGTTTCCCTGTGTGTCTCTGTATCTGTCGCATCCTGCTTCACAAATATAATGCAAATGCCTCCACCGCTGCTGCTGCTGCTGCTTCTAGGCCATATCATATCTGTGGTGGTGATGGTGGCTGCTGATTAAAATGTGTCTGTCAGCTGGACGAGGTAGAGATTGTGTCTCCGGCTGTCTCAAACAAAGTAGACGCCGTTTTTCTGGAGATGTAAATATCCTTTAGAGAGATCAGCTGAATGCACGTAAACTGATGTTGTTATCTGTTAGCTGTCTGAGGTCTGACACGCCGTCCCCCTGCAGTCCACTAAACTTCACAGACAGCCATATTGAGCGGCAGGTGCAGAGACAGCGAGGGGTCATGGGAGTCTGATCAGAGCTGTGATGTCCGTTATCCAAGGATGAAGCCTGTGTCATTAAAGCCATTTGGTGAGTGCTGTGGTCCAGAAGATGAAGAGTTCAGTTAAACTGTAAGAGATGAAGCACAGGTTGTGCCCTCTGAGTTTCACAGGTAGAATAAGGTAAAACAAAAATGTGAAGTGGATATATCGGCTGCTGGAAGAGCTTGTTGGCTGACAGCTGGTCCTGCAGTGAGGGATCAGCTGCTTAACCTGGGTGTATTATTTTGTATTATGTCCAGTGTATGACGCCATTGTCTGCCCTGATCCAGTGTGGCAATTTATTAAATTCAAAATAACCGTATTATTAAAGTCTCCGGTACAATAAGCAAGGTACATTTTGATCTTATTTTGGTTATTTCTACCTAGAAGTGACAGGTTTCCTGTTTTCAGGCGATTTATTTGAAGCACTTTTCTACTTTTAAATGAATTTTGAATCACACTTGCAGATAGGGAAGCAGGAGCGAGAGACTGGTTCCAGTTCAGTTATTCTGATTACTGGGACAAGCCGGTAGCTTAATGAGGTGTGTGTTGCTTTATTTCTGAGCACCATAGAAATAGAAAGAAGAGGAAAATAATCAGAAACAAAGGTGTTGTGTCTACCCATACGTCTGTAAAGGTTGAGTTTAAGTTTAGAGCTCGGTTTAGGGTTAATTCCGGACTAAAAGGGTAAATGGTCAGAGATTAAATGTCTTATCGGTCCTCACAAGTATAGGAAAACAGGTGTTGTATGTGTTTGCTGACATTTCCAGATATTGACGCCCCAAAGGAAAGAAGGTCAGAGGTCAGAGGTCAAACTCTGTGGAGCTGTGAGGGATTCAGTGTCTTATCGGGGACACTTGTCCAGCGTGGACTCTCTCTTCTCAAGTACGTCTCCGCCTGTCACTGCGTACCATCGAGGCTCAAGAGTCTGCAGGTTTTGGGGCTCGATTGCTGTAATGCAGGGACACAGTGATACTTTCTTAATACTAAAAGATCTGGAAGACAATGGGAATCATTTGAACATGACGATAGCGGCTGATAAACAGACTAAAGCAGCGTATGAAATCTGGAATTATGAAACACTTTTGATGACCATGATAAGTGTGAAACTGATAACAGGTGTGTTTGAGGGCGTGAACCAAACACTGAGAAAAGCATAAAGTCAGGAAGGAAACGGTAATGAAGTGTGTGTCTGTGCTGTGCTGCAGCCGGTGAGACGCAGGCTGGAGAGTAATACCACAGTATAACGGACGGGTCAGACCAGTGACGTCTGCCATGTTGGGTCTGGATGTACTGTTGATCTCAGCAGAGCAGCATCTGCCAACTGAGCTCCCATCAACCTCCTTCTTGTTCCTTTTTTTTTTGTTGTGTCTGTCCATCTTTCTTCCTCTGCCATCTGTCCGCTGTCTGTAACCAGATCCGCTGTCCTCGGCCACCTGGTCGCACCTTGAGCCAAATTCAGTTTCCATTCCGCCTTTCTAGTTTTTATAGCTTTATTGTACTCGAGTGCGGGGTAAGTCTTCTGTGTCATGTACTGTGGGACAATATAATGAGTCAGTTTAGCTTCTCTAATGCTGGCAACTTCCATGGCTTTATCTAAATGATCCTGCTGAGGCAAACTCCAGCCATCTGGGACTCCAGGCACCATAAAACAAACCCTAAGGAGTTGTTTTTGCTTCCCGCCCCTTGAATCTTTTTTTAAATTATTATTTATCTCAACCTCAGCACAGAGACATATGAGTTAAAAGAGGTTCTAAGTTATTACTTTCACAATCATTGAAATGACTTAAATCTGCACCGTGCATAAGTACACACCAGCAGCCCCCAATGGCCGTAGGGAGTAACTGTCCCACCGTACACTCTTCTCAGACCTGTTGTCTTCAGGGTCTGAAGGAGGTTTGTTGGGCTCAGCTGTTGTTGGCGCTTCCAGCTCTCTCTGTGTAGTTTTGTGTTTCACTCAGATTTAATTTAGTCTCCATCAGGCTGTGGAGAATATGAATCACTGGTGCTCACATCCAGGATTTAATATGAGCAAAGAGGATGGAAGTAGTCTTGATGGGCCACTCTTGATAGGCTAAAAATACACATTAACACAGTGACAATGAGGAACACATTTACAGTGTAAAGGGTACCATATGTGCAGTGTGGGTCCATGCTGGTAGTGCAGAGTACAGTGTGTTCTTTCCGCTGTAGATTGAGATGAAATGACTGATGACTGAGTAAGTGTATGCAGTGTTACAGCAACAGGAGCTGTCAATCACAGCACATTGTACTGCTGCACAGGCCTGTGATTTGCCAACTTCTGCCTGGAATTTGCTGTAGAGAGAAAAGAAGAGAGAAAAGCACCACTTAGCTGAAGGCTGGTCGTGCTGTAGTGTTTTGGTTTAGTCTGGTGAACACTTTGTGTCTCCAAAATGTTAATCTGTTAGAAGCAGAAGAGGAACTGTCTGTTTTCATTTTAATCCGAATGAATCTGATCATTTCTGGATCAGTTCGAGTTAAAGATGTGTCTGTTGTTCTTTTAGCTTTTTCTTATCGTCAACAAATTTCATGAAAATACCAGAAGCACTGTGTTTGTCTGTCTCTCAGCAGCCTGTCTGTGGACCCTGAACTGACCCTGGTTCCTATGAAGATGTAAATCTTTAAAAAAGGGCCACTAACATACTTTGATTTTCTTATTTCCTAAAACAGCTGGCTACTGTAGTTTTTAGCAGGATTTACTTTAGCAGGAGTAAATAGTGCATTTGTTGGACTATTTTCACTTGTGAGTTAATACATATTTGGTCATATTTGGAGTATTTCCGGCAGCAGGATGGTGTCAGAATAAACAGTTTGTGTTTGTTGTAGTTTGTAGACAACAGTGTAGCACTATGACCCAGAGCAGTAAGATACACAGATGATACTGTACAGACTTGTATGTGAATGTGGTTCACGTCTGCTGCATCACTTTAGTGTGTGTGTGTGTGTCTGTGTGTGTGTGTCTGTGTGTGTGTCTGTGTGTGTGTCTGTGTGTGTGTGTGTGTGTGTCATTGATCCTGGAGTCCGGCTCTGCAGCATCTCTTCCTGGTGGTGCCTGGCTGTACAGATGCTGATGCTGGTGCAGTGTGTGTGTGTGTGTGTGTGTGTGTGTGTGTGTGTGTGAGTGGCCCTGAGCCATGCTCCACCCCTACTGCCTCTGTCGTCTCTGCCTATAGCTAACAAGACAGGAGGAGGGAAGGAAGTGAAGGAGGAGAAGAAGAGGAAGGAGGAGGATGGGGAAAAAAAGGGGGGAGGGGATGATAGGAGGAAGAGGGAGTGGTCCAGGAAGCGAGGGAGAGGAGGAAATGTTGGTGGTTCAGCAGGAGAGGATGGGGGGATGAGAGTTAGTGAGTGTGTGTGTAAAAGAGAGAGAGAGAGAGAGAGAGAGAGTGATCGAGCACTGATTGCAGACGGGGAGGGGAGGGAGTCGGAGTTCAGAAAGCCTCTAGGGGACGGAGAGTGAGAGCAAGTGGACGACCTGACTGAGTGTTTGCCCTGTGGACTGACACACTGGTTGATTGACAGGAGGAGTGACCAGGCACTCAGCGTGGCACGATGGCAGGTAGGCGAGACGAGCTCCACCTTCATCATCACTTCACTGCACCATGAATATTTCAGCAGCCTCCAGTTTTCTTATTTCCCTCCGCCGGCCTCCCGTTGTCCATCTCGCCGTCTCCCTCTGGCGAGCATCACACACAGCCCACCCCCTCTGCATTTCATCATCCATATCTTTCCATCTGTCTCCCCTCCATTCTTCCTTTTACTCCCTTCCCTCCAACTCCTTATTGGCTTCTTCCTCCTCTCCATCCATCCCTCTTTTTTTGTCCACTACCCTCCTTCCTCTCTCTCTTTTTCCGTTTCCCTATAGCAGCCATGTGTCTGTATCAGCCGAGTCATGTCAGCTGGTTTTTAAGTAACACTTCACTGTGTGTGTGTGTGTGTGTGTGTGTGTGTGTGTGTGTGTGTGTGTGTGTGTGTGTGTGTGTGTGTGTGTGTGTGTGTGTGTGTGTGTGTGTGTGTGTGTGTGTGTGTGTGTACAGTCGCTTGCTGAATATAGATTTGGTTTATAAGGAGAATAATGGAATACCACTGAGGTGTAACCATTGTTATGGGGTGTGTGTGTGTGTGTGTGTGTGTGTGTGTGTGTGTGTGTGTGTGATAATTCAAGGGCAAACTGAAAAGTAGCCGGCTCTGCAGTGTTTTTAAACAGGTGTCCTGACAGCAGAGGAGATGAAGGTGAACCCTGCTGATCTCTCATCTCTCTGTTTACCCTTTCTTTCCTCTCCTCGCTTGTTTTGCATCGTTCTCTCTCTTCTTTCTCTTCAGTATATAGCATTTAATGTGTTCAGTTGAATGTAAAAAAACGATGCTCTGACATGCTGAAATGGAAGCATGTTACAACTCAAAATAAACATGCTAAATGTTAACATATTTTACAGGTTTATATATATGTTAATGGGTTTCTATTATGTTTTTTTGTTTTTGAATCAGAGAGATAGAGAGATAGATACTTTATAGATCCAAAGGGAAATGTAGGCATCCAGTAGCTTGACACATGCAAAAAAATGATACTTACTGGAATAAAAGAAGAATAAAAACATAAGAAAAACAGTAGTCAGTGTAAATTCTGTGTTTCACACAGGGACAATAAAGTTGAAGTTGGGAACATTACATACCAGAAGTTAGCATCGTAACACTTCAATGATCACATGACCAGTTTTGTTTACAGTACAGCCGGGCTCAGTTCAGGATCAGCAGCATTGCACACAAACAGTGTTTGTTAAACATGTCATGCTGAATGCATTTGCATCAATTCAGCATGTCGGCATACAGGAGCTGTTAACATGTGTGATAAGTTGGTAATCGTGGGCATGTTAACACCATAATAACCCTCAGGACATATTACCTTTTTGTGCACTACTAGTGGTAAAGATCTCAGTAGTAGCAAAGAAATGGTGAGCATATCTCTCAATTTGTGTCTCCATTAACAAAACAAAACATGTTTTGTGGTGTGACTTGTAAAGTCTAGCGTTAGGCAATGTCAAAAATTGTTCACAGTGTGAGTGTAGCGTTTGTGACTGTCTTCTTCCAGGTCCTTTCATTGGATCCCTGTACCTGTCTCCCCAGCGCCTCCTCACTCTTTTTCTTTCTGTTTCTCTGTTCAGTTCAGTCACAGCAGTTTAGATAAACACGATAATTGCCATATTTAGTTATACATTAATCATTCTCCTCTCTCTTTCTCTCAGTCCTGTCTCTGTTCCTTTCACTCTCCATCTCCTCCCACCTACAATCTGTCCCCTCCTACAGTTAAAGACTGTTTCTTCTGTTTGCTTCTCTCTCTTTTGCTCACTCGTTCACTGTTTTAATTATTTGGACCCATTCACCTCACCTGTATTCGATTATAAAACAGTATGTTATGTTATTGTAAGTGCTTCATTGCTCTTGTGTTACAATGACTGTGACTGTTTATCTGCATCATGTAGCTGACACAGAACAGGCAGTAAGAGGAGATTGTATTTGTGTAATATCACCCTTCAGGAGGTGAGACATCACTTTATTTCTATACTTTTAATATACAAAACATCCATGGGAATAACTCTGGCTTTCCATAATTAATATACAGTATAGTAAATTAGTTTTCAAATGGGTCATTGACTCTGAAACTGCATTTAGACCATAATGAAGATTAATTAATGGCTTTTAGAAGGGAGAGAGACCCCACACACCTTTTCAATTGTAATGGAAGCAATACAGAGTTTAAATGAATTGTTAATATCTATAAAAAGCAAAGATTATGAGGTAATTTCATTAAAATATGTTTTTGTCAGAGAACCTCCATTTTTGGCGTTGGACCACACAACTGGTTGACTTCTGATATTCAGCAAAAGGCTAATGTCATTTGGATAAACCATTCTAAACTACTACATCAGATAAATTAGCAGGAAGTTGGAGACATTTAAGAAGGAAACGATGACAGAGGCTTGAGGTAATCTGACATTATGCTGCTGATCCGTCAGGCACTTCTGCCATGCAAATCTCCCCCAAGCTTTATTTCTGTATGTAAATCTGAAGCTTATTTTCCCTGTGGCCCCTTCCTGTCTCATTTGACTGCAAGATGTGATACAGTAACAGTAACAGTACTCCCTGTGTCCCCCAGCTCAGCTTACAGCAGTGAACTGATGCATGCTGGGAGCGTTGTATTGGCTCGCACTGAAGCAGTGTGTGACCTGTAAAGCCAATTTTGGAGTGCAGTGCTCTTTTACTCCAAGTTTAAAGTTAATACTTTAAACTGTTGCAGCTCAGATCTTTGAATATTGTGCACATGGTGAGTCTGACCTTTGCAGCAAAGATAATGAGGAGATGGAAGTTCATGGTAGATATTACACTGAATGGGTTTACTATGTATTGCTAGTTGGACAACAAGTCATTATCAATGAAACAGGTTTTTAAAGGCTGATTCTGATATGTTTAATTGTACCTACTGTAGGTAATACTGTAGCCATTTTATGACAGAATTCAATACTTAATTTGGTGTTTTTCATAAATAAGTATTCATTGCGTACTTCCTGTCTTAATAGATAAACCTCAGAAACAGGAAATTAAAACTTTCTCATTGCAGCTTTTTATGTCCAGTCTCATCTTTGCAATGGATTCTTTTCAATAAAGAATTAGAAAATATAGCTGAACATACAGATGTGTACAGAAAATAACACTTATTTTAAGGTATTTTATATGTGTAGCAGTGATCAAGGAGCAAGCTTCATCTCAACACATGATTGTTTGATCCTGATATCTGCTCTTCAGTTTAACTTCTTTCGAGAAATATAAACAGGTGTAAGGAATTTGAAATGTAGAGAAATCTCATATTTTCTAAGGGGGAGCCTTATCGAAAGAAAGCTGCATGTACTGACTGACAGTGTTGAGTAGAAGATAACTTCTCTCTCAGTTGGTGTAATATTTAAAATCCAGTCTGTGTTTGTAATCATTGTGGCAGAGCTGGCTTCATAACAGAGAACGGACAGGGTTTAGAATTTAGGACGCAAGAAGAGTGGAGATGTTCTGTCGAACCGTAAACCTGTTTTCGACTATCAGGTTGTAATCTGTTGGGCAGTAGAATAATAATCCGCACTGGGCAGTTTGCCTTTGATAATCTAGTCGGCGTGGGAGGATGGTGGCCGATTAGGCTGGAAAGAGTCCAAGATAAGAGGCATAAAGGCAGAGGACGGAGGGATGTGAGGAGGCTGAACTAAAGGCAGATTTTGCTGGTTGATCTGCGCCAGTTTGGATAAATGTGGTGAGCCTTCACTGTATTTGATTTGTTTTTTAATGCTGTTTAACAGTAGTCTGCAGCTACAGTGGCTCTGACACACTAAATGAACTCACTGACGATGCTAACATGCTGCTGATGTTTAGCAGGTAAGATTTACCACGTTCAAGCTCATAGTTATGCTAATATTTGCTAATCAGCTCCAAAGATAATGTACAGATGTGGCTGATGGGAGTGTATGTAGTTTTTCAGGCATTTGGTCATGGAAGTATCTGACAAATGGACATGTTAACCGGATAAGAAGTAAGGATCACCCAAGTTATTATAATTCATCCTGTGGTGAATGTGAACGTGTGAAAGATTTTGTCTCAAAACCACAGATAGCAATGAAATGTTGTTGCTAGAGGAAGAGGCATTAGCACTATGATGTCTGCGTAAAGGTTTGACTGACTTCAACTGACTGGCCGACATCCGTAAAGCCATGCTGCTGCTGTGGTTACATTTAAAAGGAAAAGAAATGACTGAATTCTATCATTTTTCACTTTTTAATCCTGTCCCCTTGTGGAGTTTTCTTGTAAATATTTATGTTTACAATCCGTGTTTCTCAACAAAATACCCCAGTGTGTATCCTCAAGGCTAAACAAACATGCTGAATATATTTCCTTCCTCATAAAACATTTGCAACAAACTGCATCATTCACATTCATGTTTACATCAGCAAGCAGTCCTCTTCTTTCTCTCACGTTTGCATTACTGCCCTCTGCAGACTCCACAGGCTACCTTTAAATCTTTAAACGCACGAGAATGTAATGAGGAGGACAAAGCTTTGTTTCTTTATCTGCAACTCCATCCCTCTTTCTTTTTTTTTTTTTTTTTTTGTTTTCTCCCATGCTGTCCATACAAAATAACCACACAGCCTGGTATCTGGTGTTGTTTTCCTTCTCATAGTTTCTGACTCACACTCACACACAGAGTCTAAATTATTAAAAGCAGTCAAGTTTCCTGCACGCCCCCTGAGAAACTCAAAACCATTGATTCACAAAGCACAAGCAGCAGTAGCAGATATCCATAACGCTCTCCCAAAGCAGCTGTTTGTGTCCAAATAAGCCCAAATGTTCAAATATCCAGGCACCAGTTACTCATAGGATCTCATACTTTAGTTCACTCTTTCATCTTTTCAGTATCTCTTATATCCTACATACACAGTCAGGTCGTTGATCTTCATTTTGTAACCAACAGTAAGTCCTCGTTGCGGTTTTCTTTTAGCACTCCTAGTCCATAAAATCCAGCGTTTGTCAAACTGAACTGTGATGTCTTTTTCTGTTTGTGATATTTCTATTAAAAGTGGTTAAAGCTGCATGCAATATGTTTTTCAGTAAACTAATGTACTTACTTTTATCAGTGTTGTACTGTACTTGTGTCACCAAAGTGTGTTATCATTTGTAATGAACAGAGGCAACAGGTTGTTACCACTGCCCATTGGGACCGTTTGTAGACTGCACTGTGAGCTTTAGGTCCCAGTAGCTGAAATTTAAACTAAAACCCTCTCTCCCCCTGTCTAGATGACACGGTGTCAGCCAGTAGTAACATGGACATGGAGGACCGGGTTTCACACCTGGAGCAGAAGCTGCAGCTGCAGGAGGATGAGATCCAGCTGCTGAAATCAGCTCTGGCGGATGCCCTGCGCCGACTGGGGTACTGTGAGGAGCAGAGCCTGGGGATGCAACCGGGAGGCGTCCATGCTGCAGGCAGGAGACCTCTGGCCACCAAAGCTTCAGCACCACCTACCAAGGGTAGGACCAAAGTCCTGAACCCTTTCCTAGTTAGTTATGTCATCATCCTTCAGCATGTATCATCAGTATTTCTGTAAAGCTGAAACGTCTTCTTGCTGTTATGTTCACATTCTAAGATTTAAATGCTTGTCTACCACTGTGATGGTTGGTGCAATTTGAGCAACCATTGAATAACAACATTTCCCATGAGTCTTAGTCACTGGCAATGTGTCAACCCTCATCGGAGCTGTAGTTGTTGAAGGCTAACAAAGTAATTGTTGTTTAATCTTAATTAGCCACTGTACTACTAGAACTGCTGTCCTGTCAACACTACTCCGTATGAGATTATACTTATTCATTTCCCATTGTCACAATGGAAATAGCTCACCGCTCCTAAAACACAATAAACTAAAGGGATGCAATGAAAGTTGTCGGTGGCCTTTCAATGTACTGTGTGTTGCAAAACAGACACCTGAGGCCAGTTTAACTGCAACACCTGCAGTGTCAGACTAACGGCTTGTTCTCATTGCCTACCTAAGCACAGCACACTGAGCGTATGGCGGAACATCCTGCTTTTTATTTCGCCGCCCATGTCAACAGATTATAGCAGTCGCGTGACTCCTGTGTCTCAGCTGCGGCGGCAGTGACGCTTCACTACAGTTCCCAGCAGAAATAGGGTGAAAAGTGTCTGTTCGTAGTCATACTGACAAAACTAGCAACATATACACCTTTCACTACAGTTTCAGTGTCTTTATCGGTAGAATATGTCACAGACATGGAAAAAAATATATAAATGTATTTTATGAACTCAACAACTCCTGTTTCTGTTTCATATTAAAAGCTCTCTTCCATTTCTGTGGACAGAATCCATTTATATGTTAACAGGGCTTTTATTGTATGGTATTTGTCAAAGGCAAACTCAGTATAGAAAGATAGAGCTGGCAGCAGCAGCCACGCAGCTGACAAGCTGTCGGTGGAAACACCTAGCGCGTGTCAGACACAGCTGTTCAGCGCCGTAGCCATCACGCGCTGCTCAGGTAGACAGTGTGAACCAAGTGCTATACACAAAATCTTTAGGAATTGTCCTCGGTGACATGTATCTAGAAACTAGAAATTAAAGTTGTACTGCACGCACTGTCACAGAGTACAGGGACAACATTAACTCACCTACAGTACAAAGTGACAGTCTCATATTTAGTTTTGGCACTGTGCTGTACATTAGTTGTTAATGAAACTGTCAACAATTAATGAGGATTTGTGGCTTTTCAGTGCGTCAGCTCCTGCAGGCTCTTCCCTCCAGGCCTCTGAGTAACGGCTACGTTCAACAGAAACGCCTCCTCTCCTCCCCTTCCTCTCCTAAGAAGGAGGTGCTACAGTCCATCAAGAGGTATACAAAACACTAACAAAAACAGAAACGCTGCCACAAATATCCCACTCGATATCACATTGTGTATTATTCCTGCTTTTACACTTAATGTCAGGAGGGAGATTCTGGGGTTAAAAAACTCTCACTCAAAAAGTTTTGAACACAGATCTCCACAAGGCAACATGTGATTTACTTACTTTATTTATTTGCAATAACATGTCCTTTTGTTTGTCTGCTTTTATAATTTTGTTTTCACATTGCCAAAAACACAGAGCTGAAATCTGATGGCTGTTGGTTGTCATTTATGTGATAAAAGGTAAATGACCAGTGAGTTTTTTGCTGTGTCATCCCAAGATTAATCAGCCTTCCACATTCCTTCACACTGCTCTCAACCTTCACACATCTGTCACCACTAGTTTCATTATCACAAGACCCCATTTAACTGGGGAAATGAATTAAGACTAACTTTATTTTTAGCAATGTTCATTAACAATAGAGGTGAAGAAGGGTAAAGATGAGTTTCACATGTCAGAACATACTGATTTCAATTTTGCTCCTCTCCTCTTTTTTCCTCTCCTTTAGGAAGAGTATGTCCACAGAGCGTCTCACCCTGGTGAGGAGAGAGATGGGAGCAGAGAGTCGAAGTCGAACCACCTCCTCCAGCAGCTCCTCTGGAGGCAAAAGGTAACACCTTGTCCAGTGTGATGGTGTGTATTATATACCATGTTTATGCATTCACAGACATCTCCTAATACCTGGTATAATTCTCACTATTCTGTGATACTAGAAAAACTATCATCAGCCGCAGATGGCAGAGGCAGATGTAACAGAGAAAAAAAAACAAACTCCTCATTTTCTCTAACAAGCATGTTTGTGTATCGTGGGTCAGCAGGGTTGTGGGGGAGTTCACTGGGTCACTTTAGATTGGTCTAATGAGCTGTCTTACCTCTCAAGTTCTTTCTTCTGTCTTTCTGTCTGTTGCAACGACAGTCAGTCAGTCAGAGGCAGAAAGAAGAAGAGTGAAGAGAGAGAGTGTTTGGTTACAGCAAGAATTATTTGAGTTATGTTAGATATTAAGCCAGCTTTTAGATATCAGAGTACTTAACATGTTTAATACAAATGATGCCTGTGTTCAGATTATAGTTTATTTGATGTGGAACCAGCCCAGAAAGTTCAAATCTTAACTTGAAGTGGAACAATCAGGTCAAAAACAGACAGGTAATTTTTCAGTATGGCTTTAGGCCATCAAAGTCTTGTTGTTTCAAAACTTGCTCTGTTACTTTCGAAAAAAACATCAAACAGGCCTTTTCATGCACGGTTGCACAACAATTCTTTCAATAAGGAGGATACAGCTTCCTTTAACTCCGACACTGAAGTGAATATTGGAAGTTGGGTTCTATGATGGAGATCCTGAACACTTTCCCTACAATATCCATGAAATTCAGTGATGCCGCCCATGGAGGGGCTCTTTAGTCTGTGCAGTTGTGTGCTGACTGAGGGTGAACAGGTTGTCTGACAGATGAATTGAGAGACTCCTCGTCACACGGTATAACCACTGCTTCAGTAAACATGTCAAATAAGCTGTGAGTTAGTTTGGGTTGTTAAATGCGGTTCATATTTTGTGAGTAGTGCAGAAGTAATGCAACGAATATCAAATTATTTTCAACTAGACAAAAAACATTACTAGATCTTTGTTTAACAGCAAAGACCAGAAAGAACTTTCATATTGTTTCTCTTTCATTACTTCATTTCAGTGTTAGGGCCAAGAAATCCAACTGACTTTGCACTCTCTTATACTTAAAATGGAATAAAAACACAGAGAAATGTTGCTTAATGGGCAAAGACAAGAGGAGCAACTGCCTCCGCTCTCCAATCTAATCAGCATCTGTATCTGATTGTACTGAAACTGTTTTGCATTTACAGCCTTCAGCGGAAGCTGCTGGGCTCTGAGAACTGATGGTTTAGAGTTTTTGAAGTTTAAAGCACACTCAGGATGTTGTGAGAGGCTTCAATTATTCAGACTGTGTTTTTCGAGGAGCAAGAGATGAATTCTGCAAATCATCATAAGTGTCCTCTGATGTGTCCCCTCATCATCTGTGGTCGTTACACTTCCACAGTCAGCATTCCTGTCCGCCTGCAGTGAATCTCGGATGTCACCATGAATTACGTCGCCGTTAACAGGCTGTTGGTCTTTGCGATGCCACAGCTGTGAGCTTGATGGACAGTGAAGTATCCACGTGTCACAGCCAAGTGAACGCAACATGTCATCAGTAAACAAACCTGGTGGAAGTTTCTCTTCATAGTTATACACACTTTTTCCATCCTTCTTGTTTTTCTTTTCTTCCGTCTGTCTGTCTCTCATTAGGGGCCATTTTACCTCTAAATCCCTTTTTTCTCTTTTCCTAATCCTCCACGGTTTTGTTTATTTCTTTTTCTCCTGTTGTGTTCTTCTCTCATGAACAGTTAAACCTCCTTCCTCTCCTTCTTCTCTCCATTTTTATAATCTCTGCTGTTCTTTCTCAATCAACATTCACCCTTTCTTTTCCTTCCTTTACCTTCCTCTTCCCTCCTCTTCTACTGTTTCCTTTTATTTCCTCTTTTCTTTTTCTTTCTCTTCTTTTACTATTCTGTCCCTTGCCTCTCATCCCCTCTCCTTTCCTTTCCTTCCCTCTCCCTTCCTTTCCTTTCCCTCTAGCTCCTGTCTTTCTGCTGATGGATCAAATTTCCAGTAGTTCTTGGTAAAGGGGGGGTGTGGTTACCGAGTAGAGGAGGTGGGTCTGCTCAGTCAGGAAATGCGTTCTGATTGGATGATGGGGTCTCCTCGGGCTGAGCTAAAAGTTTGCTGAGTGAAGGAGGAAGTCGGTGTGTTGCTGTAGCTGTTGGACAGGACAGGACTGCTCACCACTGTTGACTGTTGAATCTAACGGAAACCTCGCAGCCATGAAGAGATCTTCCAGGTAAACGGTTGCTTTACAATTGACAATCAATGATTGACAGAAAGAGTAGGGGACTGGGAGCAGAGAGAGTTTACTGATAAAGCTTTTTAGAGGTGAAAGTCTTATGGATTCATAGCACAAAAAGGTATGAATAAATCTATGTATTTTGTAAAGGACAGTGCGTAGCTTTAGTCTTTGGGTGGTTAGTAGTCATTTTAAAAATGTGTGTGCTGCTTTTAAAGTCAGCTGGCTGAATTTCTGAAAAAAAAAAAAAAAACAGATTTTCTTGTGTCACACCCAGTCTCTCATTTGTTGTTTGAATAATATTTGAATTGGATTATAGGTTGCACAATGAAACACTGCGGTTTAGTTTGAAAATTCATTCAGGCTTCACCACCTTAAGTTTTTGGTTATTTTCAGTGTAAAAAAAAATCAGTTTTTTTAGGTCTGGCTGCACGACAGCCTGAGGAAGTTGGGTTGTTTGTGGTTTGCATGACAGACTCTGTTGTCACGCAAACTGTTTGATGCAGTAGGTTTCCCTGTCTGCAGGGCTGTGGGGAGGGGCTGCAGCATAGTAACATGAATACAGAAACAAGTGTGTTTGTGGACCATGGATCAAATGGCAAAACATACGTCTGGTTCAAACTAAAAATGCTAAATTATGTCATTTTAAAAAGAATTAGTCATAGTTTAATTGTGTAATTCAAACAAAGAAGGAAAAAATGTACTGTGTTCTGTGAAACTTGCTTTTTATTAAAAAAGCAAGATGATGAATTACATTCACAATATTCAGAAAACTGAAATCTGACTTTTATGGAAACCAGCATAAAGTATTTTGTAAATGTGGGGCCTTTTTCTGAAGTGGATCTTTTAGCTAAGAGCTCTGACATTATGTCACACATATTGAATGAATTTATGCACCTCTTTAAGTGTCATTAGTGGCTCTTTTGTCTTTGGGCTACTAATGATGGTGGAAACAAACAAATGTCACATTTCTGTCCAGTTATGAAACACACACACACACACACACACATAAATATGGGATGAGTGAATGTGAAGTGACAGGGACTGGTCACACTGTGCTCAGCAACCCTGTCACTTAACTGATTGTTCTGTTAAATCTGATTGATTCTGGCAGCAGACAGGACACAGCTCCTGATACAGATATTACAGTTTCTTTATTACACCCTGGCCTGCTGCATTGTGACCAGGCCGGTGCAGAGTGGTGGGACTCGTGTTACGATTACTGATTCTGCTCTGCATGCAAAAACACTGACAACATTGATTGGACATCCTGCTTAACATGCGACAAACATATTGACTGTGTTGCTCATTGCAGAGAAGCATTTTGCACCACTAAATGCAGGTTTTGCCGCAGTAAACCAGTCTATCATCACTATGATTGCCTTTCTTTTAATCTGATATTACGTGGATTTCATGTTAAATCAAGGGTAATACACCTTAAAACTGTAGGGCATTGTACAAAGTTGAGGTCTGGATTTATGCAAATACAAGGAATAAGGAAAAGATTTCTATCATGTTCACTCTATCCATCTGTTTCCTTTTATCTCTCTTTCATGGGACAGAAAGTTTTGATAAAAGGAAATTTTATGTGATTCCTTCACATTTTCTATTTAAATTAACACTATTATGTATATAGTTGTAGCCCCCCAAAAAACATGAGTAAACAATATTAACTAGAATAAACATACTTTCCCTCAGATTTAAACCATGTAAAATTCTGATGAAGTAAAAAATGTTAACTAATTTTGTCTGATGCCTCCGATTAGTCTAACGTAAAATGGAGCAAAGTTCAGTGTCTTAATGTATTTTGAGTTGAGTGAAGACGTGAAGATGATCACATATGACTGTCCATTAACTGAACCACAGCAGTACTTCAGTCATAATGGACTAGGAAATGGACACACCGCTCCCACCACTCCCACAGGGGGGCTTTGACCCATCAATCAGAAAACAACATCCATTTTCTCTCTGCCTGCATCACTATAATAAAAACAGATTTACTACAACATCCATTGCTAAAGTTTCTCTCAGGTGAATGGAGCTCTCTTCTCTTCCTTATGTAATACAGTTTTAATCAAATCATGTAATGTAAGATAAATGTGTTATGCCACCCACTCCAGGTTTAGCTGGTGGGATTTATTCAGAAGTTTGCTTTCTGAATAATTCAGGTAAAAATGATCAGCTTTGTAGAACACACGCTATTTTTTTCCAATCTAAAAACCTGAAGCAAATCCCAAGCTCAGCCGAGCTACACGACGGGTTCATGTTGATGTCTTTAGAGAAGCAGAGCACATTAACTACTGTATCTGTCTGTCGGTTGACGGGTGTTCTCATCATCTGCCAAGCTATCTCTGTGCCCATTAGGGTGAGTCAAGCAAATTTCTGTTGAGCATTTCCAGACCACACTGAGAAGTTTTCTTGCCTGGCAGCAAGAGGTCAGGAACGTCTGGGTGAGCTTGAGATTCCAGGGATTTTTAAGCAATCTGTCTACAAAGAATTAATGAATCTTGATGGCACTTTCTCAAAACTCTGATGGGGGAACCCTGACGGGTCTTTGATGCCGATTAGGCCCCTCTTGTTCTTACAAGAACTGGTTGTGTTTTGAGAGTGCAGGCAGCCAAAAAATGTCAACAATACACTCAGTGCTGCATGTTAATGAGTGCTCCTTTTGTGCATTCCCTCTCACTGGAAAACTGGTGACTGGGACTGCAGCCGCATGGCTTTTAGATCCACAGTTATTTGCCCTGTACGGCTGCCAGTTACCCAGCATGCCCTGCACTAATTACTGGCTCTGAATCAATCTTGTTCTCTTATTGGCTAAAACCAGGCCACGCCTCATCATGCTGGCACACCACGCATACACACACACAAACAGAAAGTTCAAGAGACAAACGGGCCTTTATGTGGGTATTTTAAAGAGCCGACACCCTGCCTGGTTGCCTCCAGCTGGCCAGAGACACAACAGACACCAGTTAGGATCTTAGATCAGTCGCCCGTTCACCCTGCAGTCTGTCTTTTAATCTTCTTCAGATGCTTTGTGTTATTTCAAACACACACATACCAGCTCTGATCTTTAATGATTAATAATTCATCTTTTCACCTGTGTGCCCTATTGATTTGTTAAACACTGTGGCAAACCTAAAAAAAAACTTTATGAATACATTTCACTTAGCATGACATGACAAGCTCAGAGACAGTGAGAGGTGCTGTGAGGTTTAGTCAGGTAACTCCCTGTTAAACAAACTCAACTGGAAAAGTAGACCCGTGGTTCATCCTGGTGATTGAAGGTGTCCTGTTGAGTTTTCTTGTTAACAAACTAAAGTTGTTTACACTCAGTGTTCAGTGTGTAATTTGAGGTCTAGCAAACATGTAGAATGCATTTGCTTCCTCATTAAACATTTTGTAAAGAAGATTAATTTGCTTTTTTCAGACGCGCATAGAAGTCAAACACATCGTTCCCGACTCTCCTGTTGCTGAGCATGAAGAGACAAACCCGCAGTTTCCCCTTATCTTATCAAGCCTCACTTTTACTGCTGTTGCCATGGTGATATGCACCTGTCAGCTGAGGCAGGGCTTCAACATCCTGATAATGTGGTTGGTTGACAGCATCCTGACAGGTTAGGTTGAGCGGTCAGCATGCACTGAAACGCTCAGCGGGCAGTCCTGATTGGTTGACGGACAGCTGATTCAGGAACAGCTTCGTCTGCTGCAAACTGATGAGGCAGCTCCAGGTTTTGATTGACAGGTCTAATTATGGATTCGGGGGAAAGTGGATGAGTGACTGGTTGTCATTTTGAATTTAAATGAGTAATTAAATCCAACTTTTTTTGTATACATTCAGCTTTTCTTTGTGACATTTGGTAACAGGAGTGCTTCTCCATCTCACTTCTCTCTCTCATCTCTGCTTTGATCCTCCTCTGTCACGTTGTTTGGCTGAGCACCACGTTCACTGTGTGATTCATTGTCACCCACTATGTGTGGTTACATAGATAATAGGACTTCTCTGTTTACTTTGTGTCTGCTGACTCTTTTTATCAACTTGTTTGCACAGTCATATGAAAGGGTTGGGACTTTAATCGTTTTCTCTGTTCATCAAAGACAAACTAAACTGTCCTTATCTTTGTGTCTTGTCCAATAGCAAAAGTGTATGCCCCAGTATTAAATGGAATCTTACAACGTAAGGTGGACCCTATTTTCTTATGAAAATATCAGGGGAGGAGCGAGAGGGAGGTCGGGCATCAGAGAGGCAGTGAGGAGAAACAGCATGTAGAGCCAGAATACATTCACATCTAACTTGCTAAATGAAGCGTTTTTGTTTTTGTTTTCAACCAAACCAGAGTTGGTAATTGTTGAAACAATGGAAAGACAAAGTGTCTTTTATTTTGTTTCTGTCGAGTTTGAAGGAAGTGTTAAGATGTTAAAGGTAAAATGTTTTTCTCAGTGGAGTCTGGTGGTTTTGAATGCAATGATGTGGTTTCTGGTTAAACAAAAAGGATCTTACTCTTCCACAAATGTGGATGTTAATGTTTATAATGTTGTCAGACACTTGAACAAACAATTTGAGCCTGCAGTTGCAAAAAAAGAGCACTTTCAGTGGATGTTCTTTGATGTTGCACCATTGCTCATAAGGATTCAGTTGCTGCCAGCTTCACCACTCTCGCTCAATACTGGACCAATTTAAAGAATCGTTGTCCCCATTAGTCACTTAGACATAAAAACATACCAAAGTTACCCTTTAACTAGCTATAGGAGCCTTGGGCAAAAATGAGCTGTGGGCCACTGTTGACCCCACAGCCTTCCCACTGTCTGTTCAATATGTATGAATCATCACATACTGTACAGTACTCTCAAAAAGAATAGACTGTATACCAGGGCCTTTTGGGCAGTTTTGGTCAGTTGGTAATCCAGCCATATCCTCACAGGAAAACAAAATGACACCACATAGACCTTTGGCATACATCAAAACTGTGGTCTTAATTTTTCTGAAACCTGAAGAAATGACCTCTAATAATTGTTTAGATCAGTGGGAAAAATAATAATAATTTTCACAGTTCCACATTCCAGTTAATATGTAATATACAATGTTAACAATATTTACAGGCCTCCAGACCCCATCATTTCAGGAGGATAATGTCTGTCTTACAAGTCTTGATTATAGGTTTTTGCAGACTCAGTCCTCTGCATCTCCCCCGCAGACATTCCTATTGTCCAGTTAATGTAAGACTGAGCAGTGAGGGTTGTAGCTTGCAGAGCATAGAATAAATAATTCAGAATCTTACAGGGAATGCATGATGTCTCAAGAGTGTAGGAAAATATGGAAAATATTGTGTTTGATGTACTGCACTTGCTGGTGCAAAACAACTTCTTACACTATCCTTTCTTCCATTTTGGACAGCCACACCTTGAATCGTCCTATTTGCTTAACAATTTATATACAAGATATTTCATTCATATATCATACTTTTTTCTGTTTCAGTAAATCCAAAGAATGCACCCTCAATGCAGGTAGGTTGTTTTTTTTACTCCACTTTATATCTGTGTATCTCACAGTGTGTACTCTTACTTTGCTGTGAAGAGGATGAGCAGCCTCTGATGTGTGAAACTCAATTAGCCATCAGGTGTCCTTGAAATACTCTTGAAGGATTTGTGTTACTGTCATTCTGAACCATGAAATATTTCTCATTAGAAATATTGAACATCCATTAGAATTAACAAAGAAGTAGTGACTGCAGAAGCTTTATCCGTTATTGCTGGAAAGTGTTCAGAAGATGGAACTGATGGAACAACCTTCAGTTAATGCAGTTATTTTCTAAAAAGATACCCGTGTGCCGTCACCTCCTCGTTCTGTCTCTTATACTCTGCAGCTTGAATATTTTTCCTGTTCCTTTCTTTCCACTTAACCTTTCATCGCTCCTTTTCTTCCCTCTCTCTGTCCCACCAGAGGACGGCTACGTGAGGATGTTCCTCCGAGGTCGCCCCGTCACCATGCACATCCCTGACCAGCAGAGGGAGAGCTTCAGCCTCGACCAAAAGGTGGCGCTACCTGACCGCAAGCTCAAACTGCAGTGGGTGTATCCTTCCGACTGGGAGAGGGAAACAGAGAAATAGACAGAGAAACTGTTTCTTTGATGGATCAGGATGAATTAATTATTATATGTCTGGAGGTTTTCAAACTGAGGTGTACCTCCCCCTGGGGGACACAGGAAAGTTGAAAGGGAGGCACGGAGGGAGAGATATGACAGAGAAAAGTGCATGAGGGGAATTTGAATCAAAAACTTTACTCTGCATCAAAGGTTTGTTAGAAACCTAAATATGGCCATGAATTAATAGTTATTTGTCAGTAAATGTAAAATATAAACTCTGTAAAAACTTAGTAAGCTTTATATTCGGGGGGAGATGCAGCTATGAATTATGAGTAGTGCTCTTGGTTTCTTATCCTAGAAATTGTAAAGGGGGAATAAAATTCAGTACCTGTGAGCCACCTTGTAAAGAGCCTCAACTAAATATCTGAAAGAAGAATATAAAATGTTCTTTCTCGCTGGTCCAGTCCAGCTTCACCCATCTTGTTCCCTAACTTAAGCGTGGACCAGGTACGGCTACCGTGGACGAGACTGCCGCTCCAACCTCTACCTGCTGCCCACAGGCGAGATCGTCTACTTCAACGCCTCCGTGGTGGTGCTGTACAACACCGAGGAGCAGCAGCAGAGACATTACCTGGGCCACAACGACGATGTCAAATGGTGAGAAACCAGCTGATAAGAGCTGTGTTTGCTGGTTAACATAAGGTCAGGGTAGAGTAATATGTTGTCTGATTTCCTGTGTAACCTGCATTCTGCCATTGGTTTCCCGTGTGCATGTCAGTGTATCTCCTTTGATCAAAGGCTGTGCTGAAAGATTACCTACTCAGGTACTGTGTGTGCAGTAAACATGCAGAATAATACACAGGGCGAAGAAAGACAGTGACAACAGGATATGGAAACATTTGTTTAAACAGAGGAGTGACTCTTGATCTCTTGTGATGCAACTTTTCAACAAGACACATATTATATATGTTGAAACATAGAAATGCGTCATGTAATTCTTCTGTATCATTCTACTGAAATGATTTCCTATATACAACACTTCTATTATTCGGTCAAACCTGAAAGTCCAAGTCCAAAGTCCAAAACCTAGAAGGGACAAAAGAGAGCGATTCTGCTTCTCTCCTCATCAGCTGCATGAAGCTGGCTGTGTTCATCGTTAATGTGATTTTTGGTTTACTTAATGAGCATTAGTTGACATCCTGAATGAGTTCTGTGACTGGAGCCATTGGGATGTAAACAAACTGAATCCCCAGAGGCATGCTGGGAACGCTACTCATCTCTACAGGGACACAATCATGTTCTCCTCTCCCACGGCGTCATATTGAGTTCCACTCTTCCTCTTGCTATGGAAAGATCGAGGATCTTTCATTTTGTATTGATTGTGGCGGCCCCTGTAGACAAAAGCGGTAGTGTTTCCACTGCCTCGTTTTATTTATTTAAAGGAATCAAATCGAATCCGACCCGGTGGCATTAGGAATAACTATATAGAAACAGATAATCTTCCCGCTGATGTTCTTGTTTGTTTATGTAGGTCCTTTAGAGGCATCAGTATTAAATTGAGACTGTTTCATAACCAGTGAGATACTCTTTGTAGTATGTTACATTTATGCTTTAGAAGACTGTCATGTTATGGTGGTTAAGTGTCAGTAATGTGTTTGTAAAAACATATATTAATAACATATTTCCTTGGCGTGGAAGTCAGAGCATCAGCAACTGATCCAGTGGAGACAGCTTTTAGTGTTTACATCTTCAAAATTTACTTTCATTGTGTTTGAATCCGAATTGATGAAGTTTGTATCTGCAGTGAGGATGTTCATTTAGGATTTTACACCATTCTCCATAAAAGCCAGGAGTTGTGTAAGATCATTAAAATGAAGTCATAATTTATATTTTCTTTTCCTAGCCTGAGTGTGCATCCTGACATGGTTACCATAGCAACGGGACAAGTGGCTGGAAACTCTAAAGATGGAAAGGTACTGTGAAAGCCTCTCTTGTATCTTCCTACAGAGTTTCACTGTTTCACTCGCTGCTATATATAGACTGAGTATTTTAAAGGTGGTATTAACTGATCCCACTTTTTAGTTTTTTACATTTAAAATGAGTTTGTCTTGACACACTGTTTCTCTCTCTGTCACCTCTCTGTTCAGCTGCTGGCTCCTCATGTTCGTGTTTGGGACTCTGTGAGCCTCAACACGCTCCATGTGATCGGGATGGGAGTGTTCGACAGAGCCGTCACCTGTGTGGCTTTCTCCAAGTCGGTATGCAGTTTTATATATTGTAGAGTTTCCAGAGGGTTTGACACTGCAAAGTTTAATCAATTAACAAATACTTAATGAAGGTATAACTTCTCTCAGAATGGCGGCACCTATCTCTGCGCTGTGGATGATGCCAACGATCACATCCTGTCGGTCTGGAACTGGCAGAAGGAGAAGCAACTGGCTGATGTCAAGGTACCTTTCGACCATCTGACCCTGATTTCATTTATACAGCCGTATCATTACTGATACTATCTCCTGGTTCTAAACTGTAATTAACAAACAATGTGCATTACATCTTCTTGGCTTCTGCCTCTGCAGTGCTCCAATGACTCTGTACTGGCTGCTGTGTTTCATCCCATGGATGCCAACCTGGTTGTCACCTGTGGAAAATCTCACCTCAACTTCTGGACCATGGAGGGCAACACTCTCACCAAGAGACAGGGCCTGTTTGAGGTACAGCCGTGATAACAGCTGCTCCAGAAATGTATCACACTACCCCCCTGCCTCGAGTCAACCTTATTAACCCACACTGTGGGGAAAATACACTTGCTTTTTATTTCATTAGCTAAAACAAATGCAGTCTAATCTAGCAGCCTTGCAATAGATCCTATCTGATCTCTCTCTCTCTCTCTCTCTCTCTCTTCTCTCTTCTCTCTTCTCTCTTTGTCTTTCTCTCTAGAAACATGAGAAGCCAAAGTATGTGTTGTGTGTAGCGTTTGCTGAGAACGGAGACGCCATCACAGGAGACTCCAGTGGAAACATCTACGTCTGGGCCAAAGGTAGAATCTAAATGAATCACAATAATCCCTTTTGTTAAGGATATTCAGGTATTATATTTCCAAACACTGAAAGACTGGTTGCTCACTGAAGTATGAAAACATTAAAGCAGCATGTAAGATAATGATTGGATGTTTGAAATGCCAGTTATGGATCTTTACAAAAGATTTAGCCAGAACAAATTTTGTGATACCTGCCCTAACACGAGCACAAGCAGTCTTTTATCCATCAACGTTGAAAAATGTTTCCTTTGCTCATCTTAATGTGCAGTTTTCATTAGTTTTCCCCACTTATTCAAGAGTATGAAAATATAAAAGGATCAATTGGAGACAGGGTGTCTTCCATTTGTGTTCTGATTTCTTGTGTCTTCTGATTGACAGGTGGTAACCGCATCAGCCACCAGGTGTCTGGGGCCCACGAGGGCGGGATCTTCTCTGTTTGTGTCCTGAAGGACGGCACCATGGTGTCTGGAGGAGGGAAAGACCGCAAGGTGGTGCTGTGGGGCCACGACTACAGAAAACAGGCTGAGATGGAGGTGAGAGAAGCAAAGTGGCCTGTGTAGATCAAAGGCATAATGACAGAATAATCCTGAGGAGAAAATCAGTTTCCCTTGTGTCACACCTGTGAGATCCGCATACAGTATTGTCTTTGAACTCTATCGTTATCCAGCTGTCCTTCAGTCTGTGTTGTGTGTTTCTCCAGGTGGGAGAGTCATTTGGTCCTGTGCGAGCTCTGGCTGAAGGGAAACCCGGAGAGCTCTTTGTAGGAACCACCAAGAACGCCATCATCAGAGCCGCCTTCCCTGATACATTAACTCCTATTGTACAGGTACACACACACTTGTAACGGTGATCATTTTGTTTCTATTGGAAAGTGGTAACAAACATTTAAACCTGTGCACACGGCAGTCTCAGGTACATTAAATGAGACTTGTAATCTGTTACAGGGTCACACAGATGAGCTGTGGGGTCTGGACATCCATCCTTCTATGGAGCAGTTCGTCACCTGCTCCCAGGACAGACAGGTTCACCTCTGGGACACCAACTCCCATCAACCCCTCTGGAGCAAGACCATCGAGGTGACTGGTTTTTATCATAGCAAGCCTTTAACATCCGGATGTTGAGCACCGGCCTGACAGCGCCGGAGTATAACAAAGAATTTAAGAAGATTTGACAGTTCTATCTTTAATAAAAAGGGTCATAAATAAACTAGTTAATCTTCTCTGCTCTCTCCTGTGCTTCAGGACCCGGGGAGGTGTGCTGGTTTCCATCCCAGCGGGGCTGTTCTAGCTGTGGGGACCATGACTGGAAGGTCAGCCTCATAGTTATAATTAAGAAACAACTATTATACACAACAACTGATCCATTTCTTAAAACACCAACCATGTAAAGCTGTACACTGGTAAAGCACTGGGATTAATGACTTTATTTAGATTTATTGACTGAATACATACATACAGTCTTTAAAATGGAAAAAGAAGTAAAGAGGTAATAGTTTTCCCCTTGAGGTAGTATATAAAGACACTTATAAATTAAATTGGTATGGTATGTATTGATAGCAAATTTAAAAAATAGTACTATGACAACCAAAATAGCCATGGCAACGACTCTGATAATTACTATTATATTTCTACACTTTTGCTAATAAATGTACAGTCAGAAATAATCTACTAACAAGAGGCATCAGTGGGGTGATTTAATGATTCTCTATGTTTTCATACTGTGTCAACATTATTGTGTTACATTAGATTCGTGCTGGAACAATTAGTCAATTAATTTATTTATCAATTAACATAAAATGAATGGAGAACAATAACTAAGTAATCTTTTAAATCATTCATTAAGCAAACATGAACATTTGCTGTTTCTATCTTCTAAAATCTTCAAAAATGTACTGCTTTCTTTGTCTCATAAATATATCTTTAGGTTTTTACTGTTGGTTGGACCTAACAAGCAATTAACAGACCTCGTCTTGTGTTCTTGGGTTCTTGTGAACTGAGTTTCTGATGTGTGTTTGTTGCAGATGGTTGGTGCTGGACACTGACACCCGGGATCTTGTTTCTATGCACACAGACGGCAATGAGATCATTTCCAACATCAAGTACTCTCCAGGTAAAACATCACCTGTTCACATCACTGACCCAGATCCATAAAAGGCACTAGACACAGCTGGTCTAACAGGGCTCAGAAACTGTATTAACTCTGGGTCCTTGTCCCTTCAGATGGTAACTTCCTGGCTGTTGCTTCCCACGACAACTTTGTTTACATCTATGCTGTGACTGAGAATGGCCGAAAGTACAGCCGTGTGGGGAAATGCACTGTAAGTATACATTCCACAAATTATTAGCTTTAGATAAAAAAAAATATTTATTTAAAGCAGTAGCAGCAGTTTTTGGACCACTTGGGACTCTTTATGTACAACTCTATTACATAACTGAAGTTGAAAGTTCAATATCTTTATTGTTAAACTTAATTGAAGTACTGAAATAAAAGTTTCCCTCCAGAATTAGATGAATAACAAGAAAACGTGACTTCTTCTTCCACATTCAGTTTTACTACAAACTAAAACATATTGACTGTGAAATTTTTCAGTCACATTTCCCATGTGATCTCTATTCAAGCAACATAAACTTTTCCCCAGGGCCACTCCAGCTTTGTCACCCATCTGGACTGGTCCGCAGACAGCCAGTACCTCGTCACCAACTCAGGAGACTACGAGATCCTCTTCTGTAGGTTCTCCCTGTTCTCTCTGTTCACATTTAGTTTTACTGTCAAAATAAGACCATTTTGACTTGTTGCACAATCACAGAGCATTATGAAACATTTGTGTTTTTTTCAGGGGAGGCATCCAGTGGTAAACATGTGACTAACATGGACACAGTGCGCAACCTGGAGTGGGCCACTTCCACCTGCACTCTGGGCTTCAACACCTTTGGTAGGTCGATAAAACTCACTTGACGTCTGACATTTAAAACCTATTTAAAGCCTAATCTAAAGCCTGTGAGCCCAGCTGAGATCAACATCATTTCTGTTGGTGGACAAATGTCCAGATTGACCTTTGATCAAACCGCTGCACAGCGCTTTGATGCCGCCTGAAACGGAACATGAAGTGAATCTTAATGTTTGCCCCCTTTCTCACCCTTTCACTAACTCTCTTTCTCTCTCAGGAATTTGGCCAGATGGAGCAGACGGCACAGACATCAACGCCGTGTGCAGGTCACATGACGGATCCCTGTTGACTTCTGCTGATGACTTTGGCAAAGTGCACTTGTTCTCCTTCCCCTGCTCTCAACCAAGGGTCAGTCATGTTCACTGACAGTTACATGCGGTTAGCACATCAGCATCAGTGGCTGTGTGTTTGTATGCATGCATTGCTGTTTCACTGATATATTTATGGCCTGAGGCGATCCAACAGCTCATCTGTCGACTGTTTTGAATATGTTTTGCTCTGCATAGACGTTGACCTTTTACACTTCCAGAGCCGAGTACCCACACTGTTTATTGTTGTGTTAATGAACACTGAAACACAAGGAAAGCTCAGCAGAAATAACAAAATGCTCAGCCACAAGGGTTTCATTGTGGGCTCACCACCAGACATATAATGTGCACAATTTCTACCAGGTGTTTATTTTGTGCTCACAAACACATTTAGGCTGTTAGGCCTTTTAACAAGTTCAAGTTTTCAGCCAAAGCCATTTAAACCGAAGCTGTAAACTTAATTGTCCGTTCAGACAAGCTGGCTGCCATTAGCACAGAAACCCAGAAGCTGTAAATAGTTACAACAAGCTGATATTGTTTTAAACTCTCATGAAATAAAACTCATTTAACACACATTTTGTGACTAAATCCAAAAGTGAGTTACAGTTGTGCTCCAAAAATTGGTTTTCCTAAAATTCTATCACTGTCAGACTTCACCATGTAACATCTGACTAATTCATTACTTTACTTTTCCTCTTCCCTGCTCACATTTACAGGCTCCGAGCCACGAGTACGGTGGCCACAGCAGTCACGTGACCAACGTTGCCTTCCTGCACGATGACAGTCTCCTGATCTCCACCGGTGGGAAAGACACCAGCATCCTGCAGTGGGTGGTCGCCTAAGCAATGCTATCCAACCACATCTCTAATCCCCACAGTCGGGGACCAGCATCCTCTCCAACCCCTGTCACCTTTTCACTGTTTTATCCTCCTGCCAGCAGGGGGCAGTATCTCCTCTGTGCCTACTGAAAATAAAAAATAAAACACACACACACACGCACACACACACACACACACACACACACACACACACACACACACACACACAACTTGACCGACCCACAGATGTCAAACCAGATGCGATGATGAGTATCATTGTAATAAATGGAATATTATTTAGAGTCCTGCTGTTTGTAATAGAATGTAGAGAAAATGAGAAAAAAATGTTGCCGTGCAGGAAGTGAATACTAACTGTTTCCCCCCCAAAAAATCCACTACTGCAACACAACTACTGCTGGTGGTGACCACACAGTATACCTGGGATTTTAGCATTAGTACTAACTGTGCCTAAACTGTGTTTATCTTAACCCCCTTTAATGGGAATTCCACCTATTTTATAGGACAAGTATGTTTGCAAGTTTAAGCTCCTTAATTACAAATCATGTATACTTTACAATACATTTACAGTGCATGCTACACATTTATAATTATGATTATATTTATATTTTGGGGTTTAATATTAGGGTCTTTTTCCTACCGTTCAGCAGCTATTGGTTTCCAGTCATTTCCACAAAGTATGGAAAAAGCATATTCTTGAGGTGGATATGTTAATACAGCCCAGACTTTTCAAATCAGCCTGCACTAGAACAGCATCACCGCCCCAACAGGAATGTGAGATTGAAAATAATGCAGAATCGATGTTCACTGTGATTGATTACTCAACTAAAATATTTTCTTGTAGATTTTCTTATCATACAGAATGCATGGAAACCAGTGGATGCTTAAAAATAAAGAGGGAAAATGTACTTAACTATCTATAAAACAGCAGCTTGGTTTGCAAAAAAAAATTGTGAGCTTTGATGTAAAGTATACATGATTTGAGATAAGAGGGTTAAAATGTGAAAATCAAATGGCCCTTTTAAGAATTCATGTAAATTCTGCCTCCCAGGAGCATAGTCGAATCTCGTGAACATGCACCACTCTTTCCGGACGCCAGAAATCACTGAGCTAGACCTAAAAACTTGTGACAAACGTGCAGTGCAGGGATGTAGAAAGACAGAATGTAACCTTGTGAAGGTGTCAGTCATTGTTACTGTACATTATCTTCTTGCTTTAACAAAGAGTGGTGTATGTTTGGAAGAACTGACCTGCAAAGGAAGATTGTATTAGAATTCCTAAAATGGGTGGTATTCCCCTTTTAAAACAACTATAACCCCATTGCCTTGTTATCTTACACTTTTCCATCCCATAACCCGATTTCCAAACTCTTAAGTAGAAGTAGTAGTACTCCTAACAAGTATTACAGATTGCTGTTTGAGATTGTAAATGGTACAAAGCGGCTGTTTTGTCCCAAGCCTCTCATTTTGCCCCCTCCCCTCTGGACTACTGTGTTTCTGATTGTACTACTACTGTAACTGTGCTGAGATGGCACTAGATGGCGCTACAATGCAAGAAAATGAGCATGACCGAGGCTACCCGCCTTCTGTAGATGCTGTTAATGTCGCAAAGGTCTATAGAGTAAATATATGTATTATGCATTATATCCGAGTGGCTGTGTTATTTTAATATTTAACTGTAACAATGATGGATGTTATTATTATTCTTGTGGCACTTTTAGCGATTGGCAGAAGGGTGATGTAGGCTGCTGTGCTGTGGAAGTGAGCTTAAGCTGTGCTTTGCCTTCTGTTTTGTTAATAAAGTTTTTACCCAAGTACTACACAGTGGAAGCTCTTTCTTCCTTTAAATTGGCAGGAAAAATTGAAAAGAGATTATCTTTGATCTCTGGAGAAGATCCTGGTAAAGTAAGATTTAAAAGGGGGAATCATCCTGATTTATTTTGTCTTTCTGTGTAAAATAAATGCAGTTGCACTCAATTCTTAAAACCGTTAAAAATGAGTTATTATTTATAGGAATATTGTGGTTGAGAATTAGAACAGGGACAGTTTATGATGAATTGAGGAGGAGGATGTTGTGGTGACAGCTGATATATTAACAGTAAATACGCGTGTGATGTTTAGAGAAGAGTCAGTTTGTGGCCAAAGGTTAGCGGTTCAAATACCGAGGTTACTCTGGGTAATCTTGATGGATGTATAGTAAACTTTAGGTTCACTTAGCAACCTGCAGCACGAGGCTGCGAAGTTCCCAGGTGTGACGTCTCCTCTCTGTTTGCATAAATAAGCAGCTTAAAGAAAAACCTAAGCCTAATTCTAATGAAACAGAGCCAGAGAGGACATGGGTAAAAAATGTTTTTTGTTGTTTTAATAAATCAGCTGTTTGAAACTAACTTTTGAACAGAGGTTGAAATATTTCATACAGAAGTAGTATAGTGTTGAATTCAAACAAGAGTTATTATACTACTACTTACTATATTAGAAAAGAGTTAGAGGTAGCAACACCAAAATCCCTAAGGACACTGGAAGATATAAAGGCTTGGATAGGAGCAGAGTCTGCAACCTCTGTTATCTTCTGCCAAGTTGTAAATATGTAAGAAGACATTCAGTCTACTTGAAGAATGTTTTGTCTCTGTTCAAGTAATTTTTGTTGCACTTCATATCTTTTATTGTTCGGTCATTATTGTGCTGTATTCTGTTGTTTACACATGGCGCTATCACGGTCTCAAGTCAATAAATGTGAAACCTAATATTTTATATTATTTTCTGAGATGACAACATGCAAACAGAAACATTGCAGATGCATTTTTTTGTTTAAACTTCTTGTGTGCAACCCCAACCCATACCCCATCGAAGTGTATATAGACAAACTTAAGTGCCTTTATTATATCAAGTAGAAATGTGGTATGCAGAGCTCGGTGTTCCTCCACTTTTGATAATTTGTGTGTAGTTCCTACAATAGATAATCATTTTTTTGCAAGTAAGTAAAGCACTTCCGCTTGTCTTCATATTGTTTTTCCCTGGGTTTTACCCCCGCTGTATCTGAAATGGATTTGTGGGCTCTTGTGAGAAAACAGTTTTCTGATCTTGACACATTGCAAATAATTATTCTGTAATGAGACTACAAAGAAATCATGTAAATAAAAAAACATGGTGATAATTATGTGCACATAGGCAGATATTAACAACAATATCAAAATCGTATCTTGCATCAGCCTGCAGACCAGAATGCATTACAACATATTACATTTAGATATGCAACTTAGACTATCCTCTCTTTATTAGTCTCTACCTCCACACATGTAACTGTAGTTGAATTCAGCAGGTCAGTTACTTCATCATAACATTGAATGCATTTTACAAAGAGTGATGATATGAACTGTTCAAGGGTGTATTTCGGGTAGATGGGGGGGGGGGACCAGGTCAAAGCAAAGGAGGAAGAGTCCAGAGTTTATCTGCTGTTCTGCAGGCAGTGAGCAGGGTTAGGTCACATTGGTACTGTGGTCACGATGGCCTGTTGTCTGTCAACACCTCATAGGTCAGGGTGACGGGCTCGAGACCCTGTAGCTCCTCACAATAAACCAAAGCATGAATGTCAAAGGTGGTCAGGAGGTTCGTAGGAAGACTGAATCTCTGAGATAGCCAGGATTTTAAAAAGTGAACTTCAGACACTTTTTGTGTTACGTATATACTGAAATATCAACTGCGCTACCAGAAAAATGACAAATTATGCCACAGCAATTATGTGTGACCATTTGAATTAAACAAAATGAAGAACCAAACAGAAAAATGTAACCATTAAAGCTACTTTAGATCCATACTGGTGTGCACAGAGTGATCATAAAGGAAATCTGTAGAGGCAATGGCACATCAAGTCAATGCAAAGAAGCAAGTGGGCACAATCAGATGAACAGGATCTGAGTTGAGGTAAAGACTTCCACAAACTGAGAATGTCTCAACTTGTTGAAAATGCTTCAGCTTGAGCAAAATTGCACAGAACCTCTGTCTTAAAAAAGTGAAAAAACCATCACAGGGTAAAAGGCCAGTATGAAATCAAAAAATTCTAAAGTAAAAGTTTAATAAAATCAAATTAACTCCAATAAACCATCAAGTTTTAATTTTAATCATTGGTTCATTTCTATAGTTTGTCTAATTGTTCATATTTCATGTTGTTTTATTTAATTGATAGTTTCCATTGTCGACTTGCATTGGTACAGCATTTCCATTTCATTCTGTATTTTGAGCCAGAATAACTGTACATGCTATGTATAGCAAGAAATAAACAATAATTTGTCTCGGTTGCTTCTATGAACATTATTGGACGTACTGCAACCTGAAAATTACAAGGACAAAAGGACTTCCCATACAGTGCAAAGGAAGAGCGTGAGACATACGATACCCTAAACTTTAACACAATAAACATCGACCTTTAGGACAAGGGTGACACAGAGGACAAGGACGAAGAGGCAGCGCTATAGGCTTCCTAGAAGGACTCCAAACCTTTTCAGTTTTTTTTGTAGAAAGCTGTTGCACATACTGATAGTCACATTTCTATAGAGAATACACATGTTTTGCAAATATCCTTCAAAAAAGTGTTATATTACACTTTCAAGGCACGGAAACACAATTTGGTAGCTATAAATAAACAGACCTCCTCAGGTACAACACTCCCAGCTGTTGAATTAAACCCATGACTTCACCATGAGCTCATAAGTCTCTGTAGAAAAATATTTGTGCTGTGTGTGTTAAAAATAATATATTTTTTGTGATATTATCCGCCAGAGTCACATGACCTTGTCCTCTATGATGTTTATTTTATTTTTATCTACTCTGTGCTGCAGCAGTTTGCTCATAGGTATTATTGGGTTTTTATCTTATCAGTTTGGAAGGATATTTCACAGCAACATCTACACCAACAAAATCATGTTTACACTTCTGTGTTTCCTTTTATTTAAATTGTCCTGTATGTACCTCAGTCTGTGAGATGCACAACTGATGTTTAAATGCTGTAAATTTATTTATTTAGGCATGAGAATGACAACGCATAGCAATTTTTGACACATTTCAAAGACAAATATTGTACTCAATCAACTATCTTTTCATTTATCATGTATGAAGATAGTTTGTGCCAAAGTTTATACGAATATTGTGCTAAAAGAAGTGGCAGGGATCACCAGGAGTTCTGTTTTTTAGAGACTAGTTAAAGGTGGCAGTAGATCATCCATTTTGAGATGGGGCAGGCTAAGATCCATGCAGAGATGGAGGGTCTTCGGGCAGGAAAGACAGAGAGAGTTGGGTATCATCGGCATAGCGATGGTGAAAGACACCATGTAAACAGATATTTGACCGGGGGAAGTGATAAATGTTGAGATTAGAGAGGCACAATACCACAAACCTCGCAGGTTCACCAGTGGAAAGAAGTTGATGCTGGACAACTGTGAGGTAGCACTCAACACAACGACCCGTTTGATAGGATGGACAGTAGAATTTGGTGGTTGAGTGTCAAAGGCTTATGATGACAAAGGAAGGTTGCAATTTATTTACAGAAGACGTATTCACAGGGACATGACCCCAATAGGGGTTTTATAGTTTCACATCACCTTGACAACAACCTTTTTTTTTAGAGCTCAAACAAGTTAACTAAATAGCTCAGCAGCAGCAGCAGTACATTCCACAGTGTCTTCAGCTTTCATACAAATTATTATCTATGGGAGATTTATTGCAAACAAATGTTTATTCACATTCCCCTCAGATACCAAACAGTTACACTACTGAACACAAACACACCGCTACAAGTTTTCTAGGCTTGCATCCAGTCAGAATGCTCTCTCAGACAATCAGACACTGACTTTATCATTGTTTGAGGGTAGTTTTTCAGTATATATTCAGAAAATATACACGAGACAGGAGCTTATCAGAACTCACGATATGGACAATTTCATTTTCCCAGAAGACAACTCAGAAAACTGAATTAGGGGCCTCTGCTGATGTGTAGTTGGAAACCAAAGACAGTACCATATAATACCATATCATTTTGGTTTCACCAGATTGAGATCTGTATGGAAAACAAACAATTTTATTAGACTTTAAAGTAAATATACTGCAATGAAAGAATGTTCAGCATCTTTTCTCGATAAACAACTCAATGATTATCAAAATATTGATTTTCTGCCAGTTATTTGACTGACTTTGTATTTTGACAGTGCCGCACTGTAGATGATAATATTGTGGTGCCGTTGCAGTTTAGCACTAGATAAAAGAACAAGCTGTATATTGTGCCAAACACTGAAGAAGGGGACTTAAGCTTGGCACAACAGTGAAGTGGATTTAATGTAAATCAGTCAAGATGTGGGCTGTAATTTATTGATTTTCATTGAAAGAAAGCAGCTTGCTCTGGTTGGCATTTTTTTTCACAGAGACAACAGTAAGATGGAAAAGGCTACATATTAGAAGAGATTAATGCATTCATATTGTAAGTTTCTCTTCGCTGGGACCAACAGAGTAACAATATATTTGGCATAAATCAGCTCAATGGATGGGGGCAGACTGACGGGGAGGTAAAGCAGCAACCAAAGATCCCTTAATCATTTCAAAAGTATTGATCCAAACATATGTGAGATGAATAAATGTCAGTCTTGCAATTTAAAAATAAACTAGTTTTATAGCAAAAATGCTTTTTTTGAATTTATACTGTGTTGAAGAACCACACCATTTTCATTCCCATTTTGTGTTAAGGAAGAAATGTAAAAATGTAGGAGTGATGTAAAATGAAAATCGCCGTAAGCGCTGCAGCAGAGGGGAGATAAGTCGTGAGAACAGAAAAAAG